TTTGTCTCTCTTTTTCAATCTTTTATTTTTTTATTTTTTTTGATCCTTACTCGAATGGTTTTGATATGATATTAAATTTTTTATATTAAGTATATTTAAAAATAAATTAATCTCTGGTACCTATGAGAACTATTTTGTTTCAAATAACTTTTGAGCAGTCATTTCAAATACAATTTTTCGGTATATGCTTGATTATTTTAAGCCGTTTGATTGAAGATTGCTTATTATTTATAGTGCACTGTCAGCCTGTGGAGGAAAAACTCTAAGTAGAAGGAAAAAGATAATAGTTTCACCCAAAAAAAAAAAATAGGCTCAAAATATTTTTTGAGTGGTATTTTTTTGAAAAAAGGGCACGAAGATTGTCTAAAGTGAAAGTACTCAGTTGCCCTTCGCTGTTAGCACGCTTAAAAATCAGGGGTATAATTCTCCTTTTAAGTCTGATCCAAGTTCTACACTCTTCTTCTTCTTCTTCTTTTTTTTGGCCAGTAAGTTCTACACTCTTCATTCAGTACCTTTTCTGCTTCGCATATTTATGGCATTGTGAGTGGCTCTCGATTTTACAGATGGATTACCATCCGCATTTTTTGCATATCTTTTTTTTTATTTATATTAAAAATTTAAATAAATTGAGTTTTGAAGAGTTAACTCAAAGAACGCTAGCTCGTAGAAACACTTATACATAACTGCCAATATTAATGGTGGGTTTTGAACTTTGAATCTTACAAATAATAAGCTAAATTTTTATTAATTGAATCAATTTTTATTAATTATTTTTCGCATATCTACCAAACGGTCAGCACAATTTTTTGCATCTGGTATTTTGATGTGTCCCGCGTGAAATTGAGAGGATTTAACTGAGGCTGGTATTGCTTCGAATCGAGATGAAAAAAAATTATTTAAGGTAGGAGTTTTATCATCTCATGTATTTTCAGGACTTAAATTAAATTTTTTTAATCAAACTGGTACAATTTTTTTAAAAATAGGTGTTTCAATTCTGGTGCCCTCTCCCAAATGGGTCTTTATTCTTCATGGCAAGATTGTTGTAAAAAGCGAGCAGCACGTGACACTTCAGGAAGCAGCTTCCAATCTTATATAAAAATCACCTCCTAGTAAAATCAATGATCAATTTTAAAAATTAGTGGACAATTAATTACTTTCTTCTAATTTTATTCTTTCACGATTTTTTATAAGTAAAGTGAAATGCTAAATATGGGAGAGGAAATATCAATAATTTAACTGCACTTCTTTAATTCTAGTTAGACTTATGAATGACTTAATATATATATATATATATAGAGAGAGAGGAAAGTCCTAGTGAGAGGGAATCTCGTGTTCAAACATGTGTGAATGTTAAAAAATATTTTTAAAAAAACTACTTTTAACCAAATAACCATGTAAAACACACACACACACACACTCTCTCTCTCTCTCTCTCTCTCTCTAAATTATAATAGAAGTCATTATTAATTTATTTATATTTAAAAAAACTCATTAACATTTTGATTTTCAAATATAATATAGGACTTATTCAAAATACTCTCAATAATTACTTAATAAAGTAAATGTGTAATTGAAAAAAAAATATACATAACACCTACCTAAGCAAAACTTCTAGAAAAGACTTATATTATGATAGAAGGGGTATAAAATATATAGAAAAACTGGCAATGAAGGCTCCCTGAAGAGGAAAAGAAAACAAGAGCCTTAAATAACTGAAGGTTCATTCTTGCATAATTAGAAGTTCATCAATTAATTTGTGCATAAATGAATCTTTAGTTATTTGTGGCACTCGCCACTTTTTCCCCCCATTTTCGGTCTTCAATGCCATTCTCCTTGCTATATATAAACAGAAGAGGTAGGAAGTGAATTGAGTCACTTATGTGGCTCAGTCACTCATCTTTCTATAAATTTCTCTTTATTTTATTACATTGAGTAGTTCAAGGATTTGATTTTGATGATTACTTGTTTCAAAATCTTGGTTAGGAAATCCACAAAGGAATAGCCCTAGGAAAGTGTGAAGTACTATCTCAATTTAGGGATAAGCCATAATTGACAATGCAACCTACCTAGGTCTCTTTAACATGATATTTTCATAGCCTTTTGTGGAACTTTTGATGCCATGATATTTTCTTAGGTAAAAGTAAAAATTTAACCATGAATTATTTTTTGATGATCATTACATATCTTATACTGTGAGATGATGCAAACAAAAAAATTATCAATTATAGAAAATAGAGTATCCAATACCTACCATTTATTTTTAGAGTTATGGGACCCATCACAGAAAAGAACCTCTTAGCTCTCATATGCTTCATGCATGCTCTCTCTCTTCCTAGATTTCATCTTCTCTCTCATGCCACCACAACTCTATCAGCAAGTCCCTAAAACTAAGCACATACCCTATCATTAGATCCATTCCTCTAGATCAAACTCAATGGGCAATAGGGTTTCATATCCTGCTTTCATGGAAAAAGGAAGCCTACTTTTGCCCAACTAGCTATTTCCTAACTTCAGAATGAACAAAACAAACTTAGAGTTTTTCTTCTTCTCAACACTCTCCAATTCCTTCCTTTAGAGAAATTTGATTCAATGACGAAAAACAAACACTTGGCATGCATTACATGTCTAACCTTCTTTATGAAAATAACTTCTTTCCAAATAGCTACCTAGTACAACAAAAAAAAAAAAATCAAAGAGAGTCAATATTGTCAACTAAGTAGAGCTAGGAAAATGGGTTGGCCCAATCCTATAGGGCCAGACCTTGACGGCTCAAGCCTAAAATGCCAATTAGTTTAGGTTCAAGTTCCCTTTAAGACCTTGGTATACGAAGTCCAACCCTCGATATAGTGGGCTTAGGGTCAACTCTTTAGGCTCTAAGCCCTTTTAACTATTTTAATTGTTTTTTCAAAATTTTTAATCAAACAAAAGAGTATTCCATTTTAATATAATACCCAAACAAGAAATCTATGAAAAAACTAACTAAATAACATCTAAATGAACTAAAAACACAAATGAAATGATAATAAGGCAATAAATAATAGATCGGTTAAGCCAACAAATACCCAATCGATATTAGATAAGATTGAGGGACTAAGATATGGGACCAGGAGATCGAGGAAAACAAAGAGCACGAGCACGATGTGTGCATCATATAGAGCTTAGCTCTTGAGTCACGAATGCACAATCATGATAAGTGATAGGAGGAATTGGGAGACTGATGACAACAAGCATCAACTAGTCGAGCATTATTGAGACTTGGTTCTTGGGAGGAAGCACTATCTGAGTCAACAACAGGGATGACTAAAGAGTGAGCAAAAGCAGAAGCAAGGATAACTTGTAAGTTGCAATGACAGGAACGAGGATGGTGATGCGATGACTTGTTGAAGAGCGAGGGCAACTTGTAGGGACAAAAAGAAAAGAAGCATATTGGCAAAAAAAAGTAAATATTGAACTGAATGAATTATTATTGTGAATCTAGATGCATTAGGGAATTTAAGGTTACATTTTTTTTTTGAAAAATAGCAACTAAGAATTTCTGCATGAAATTTATATCAATCAAGGATCAGTTATTGTCAAAACTTGAATGAAAAATAAGTTAGAATGAACCGTTCTTAATTTAGAATGAGTTGTTATTAAAATTTGAATGAATATTTATTGATAAAGACTAACTTGAATCCACAAGTATCCATTTAGATTTTAACAACTAGTGATTTTTGATTGATATAAATTTTGATCAGTGATCCTTTATTGTTATTTTTTCTTTTTTTTTGTTGCCTCTCCTCCTTAGTAGATATGGGCTGACATGTGATGTGGAGTAAGAATTAGTTTAATTTTTTTTTTCAAGTTTTAAAAAAGTCAAAGTCATGAAAATTGATTTAAAAAATATGCATATGTGGGCTTAAACGGGCTGACCCTCAGCCTTGCAAGACCATCGTTTTAAGTGCTAAATTAAACGGCCTTAAATGGGCTAGCCCGACTGATTCGGCCTGTTTTTCTGACTCTACAAATAAGGGTATATAGCTTTTGGAGATAACAGATGTTGAGTAAAAACCAAAAATCTTTTTTGTCCCATTCACTTTAATTATCATAGAACTTAGCTCCAACATGTCCATAATCATGGTAAATGATGTATAAAATAAAGGATGAACTTATCATTTCGTTTACAATAGACCATTAAGAATCCAACATCATCTTCAAGCAAAGCAAAAATATAAAGGTATTGGTTTCATCCATCCATAAATATTTCTTCAAATATATCATTCACATGAAAAATTACATCCCCATAATGCCACAATTCACAAACTAATTTCATTTTTAAAGATTCAAAGGCTAAAAATTAAGAAGGTAGAGAAACTCACTAGACTGAGAAGGCAAAGGGAATTGGATCGACACGAGGACAGAGGGAGGAGTGGAAGAAAAGCTTAGCGAAGGGACTTGTAACTATAAGGGAAATTGATGATGGACTTGAGGGAAGTTGCAAACTCCCAAGCTTTGCCAAGGAAGACTGAACATGGAATTGACGAATGTGAAGCTTAAGGAAGGTTAAATCTTGCAATTGCAAGGGGTGACTTGTGGAGACCAAAGAGGCAGGAAAGAAGAGACACAAAGGCAGAGCTCTATAACATTGAAGATGAGGAGGATACCACTCCTGGAGACCACTAACGATGGAGCAATGTGGATACGATAAAAACTTAAAGGGTTAGAGAGAGTGGAGATGTGGATAAACATAGGCACTACAATATAAATGGACGTTAGACAAAATGGACATAATGTTGTAGATGCTACATTTTTTATGGTAAATAAATTTTTACACCATTTTATAGTATAGGATAATATTTAATAGTTTTTAAAAAATAATTCGTATGTAATTTTGTATCTTTATTCTATTTTGTTAAAAGAAAAAAAAGGAAAAAAAATCTCACATGGTCGTTCGCAAGTTTTGAGTTTTAACCTTTAACCTCTTGATTTCTCGCTAAGAACGACGACGATGACGTGGTCACCGTTAAAAAGGAAGAGCTTAGCCTTGAACCCTTACCACCTTCCTTCCCCATTTTCTCCAAATTCATCAACCAGAAACTGTTTCCCTACCCTCTCTCTTCCTCTCGCTGAAAAATTTGTTCTTGACCGTACATAATACCCCAAAACCCTTTTCCTCCAGCACCGTAGAATTTGTGGGCTTGTCTCAGCCATCAACCCCATTTAGATTTTTTCCTGTTTTGTAATTAATCACACAATCCGCTTCGTTACCATGGGAAAACGGAAACGAATTTCTGATCAGACCCAGACCGATCATCAACCTCTTGTGTGTTCTCCTTCTACAGGTACGTTTCTTATCGTTTCACTTCATTGTATTTTTTTCCCTGATTTTTCATGCTTTTTTAAAGCTTTTATTAGCGTAATGATAGAGGAAAGTGAAGAAATGAAATACTCTTTTGAGCTACTTGAAACGGTTCCATTGATGGGCACCTGAGAAAACGTGATACGTCTACTTATTTGGGCCAATCTTAATTGTTTCAGGTGGGATGCTCTTCATTCTTGCACTTACTGCTCTGGCCCTCTGCTTTTTTTTTTTTTTTTTTTTAACTGGTAGAGAATATGGGGTCGAAAAGCGATGGGCTTTCTTGTTCCCAGATGTCCCATTTTCTTCCCCTTTACAGTAATTTTACTGGGTTTCAAGGGCTTGATGATCTTTTGTTTTGCAAATGCGTCTCGAAACGCTTGTTTGGTTAGTTCTGATTTTTGTTCTTCCGATTTGTGTTCTGTTTTCTTTTCTCTTTCAATTTTAATGCTCTAGTATCCATTCTGTTGTTATATTCTTCAACCTAACCCTTTGATCACCCTTTTCCCTTTTGTTTGTGGTGATTTCTTCTTTGTTTTGGGATTTAAAAGGAAAGGAGAGATTGATTCCTGTATTCAAATAAGAACTTGCCATTTCACATTGCGATTCAACTGCAAAATCTTTTGACGCCTTCCAGCGGAGGCAATGTCTGTTGATAGATCATGCCCTTGCTTCCCCCCCCCCCCCCCAAAAAAAAAAAAAAAATAAACCTCACCTGACTCCTTTGAGTATGATTTGTTCCCATCATTCATGTTTAGTCATTAATCACATCTATTATTCTTTTACTGATGAATTGGGTTCAACATTCCTATGTCGCCCAATGTGCTTTGTTTTGTCAGGTTGTATGTAAAAAAAGTGCGAAGGTAAAGTTCAGAATTAAGAATTTCAAGTCATGTTCCATACTTTGCATGAGCTAAATATTTTCCATGAAACTTTGAACCTGAAAGCGATGTATTTACTGCATTATTTGCTTAGACTTTAGAAGAAATCATTTAACAGTCCCCTCCCTCTTTTATTAATTTTCTAGATTTTGTTATTTGTTTCTAGTTTGTGAACAGAAAGATAATTGATTATTGTGCTTTTGATCAACATTGCAGAAGTCATTCCATGCTCCTCTGAGATGGACCTATTGTCAGACGAGGTTGCCTTTCTTTCTCCCCTTTTTTGAAGTTCCGAGCATTTATAGTTGTTAATTCTTTCATGGATGTATTAATAATTACTTTTTGTAAATTACTCTTTCATTTTCATCTTAATATCACCAATAAGTTTGGGAGGATTGTCATACATTTGTATTTTGGTTTTCTTGCTTCTTTGCAGAAATCTTCACATTCAGGTGAGCCTGGTGTGGGTCTTCCAGCACCTGTTTTGGATATAACAGATGATCCTTTGAGGTTATTAAATGCCCATCCAACAACAGCACATCATTATCAGAGTGTCAGCCGTCCTATACATTTGAAGCGGTCACGACATTACTATGGTCATCAATACTCTCGACGTAACTCTGCAAATCATGCCAATGCATCATCTTCTTGTGGAAAGAACACTTTGTCGTATGATGAGAGGCTTTCTTTTAAGTTAGCTTCTCAATCCATGTCAGAATCTAAACGTCACACAGGTGTTTCTTTGATGCTTATCAGTAGTGCTAAAGTTAGTTTATTTTTTATATGATCAGTTCAATAATTAAACTTTATTTTTTATGATGTTCTTGTATTCTGATGCCTATATCTTGATTCCAACTTTGCTTTTTTTTTTTTTTTTTTTGGGGAGCACTGGTCGTCTGTATGTATTTATCCAAGTAAACTACCATTTTGGTCCTTGGAAGATGCAGGTTAGGTCAATTTACTCCTTGAATATAATTACTGTCATTTGACTAAACATTTTGAAAAGCGTTTCAACATGGTCCTAGTGTGAGTTCTCCCATCAATGTATCCATGATAAGGTCATATTCATTAGATTTTGAAAAATTCATAGTCAAATGATGTGAACATGCATTTTTGGGGAACAAAGAAGTGTACCTTTGGTGATTTCTTGTTCAAGTTCTTCATATGTATTCTCCACTTGACATGTTGACACTAATTTTCCCCCAGAATTCAAAGATAAGATATTTTCCCGTCCAGAGAGAATCCGCTCGAGTTCCTTAGCTGCAGATGCCGCGTCCTCTGATGCAGTCAAGATGGTTTGCGGGGTATGTCAGAAGCCATTGAAAAGGAAAATTTTTCTGCATGGGCCATTATCTCCCTCTGAATTGTATTCTTCCTGTGACCAATCTTCAATTGTGGCAGTCCTAGTTTGTGGTCATGCTTATCATGCAGAATGCTTAGATCAGAAAACCAGCTTCGAAGAAAGACGAGACCCGCCATGCCCTGTGTGTGAGTCTACTTCTGCAGGATGATGAACTCAAAACTTGCTACTGAACATGAACAATGTGAAAGAGTAGAGTTTTCTGCAAGATCATGACATGAAGGGGGTAGTTTGTATTGGTTGAAATGGAATGCGAGAGGTGGGATATTCAGTATAGATGATGTACGTTAGGGTCTGTATTATCGGGTGGTAGGGTTTTCTGTATAGAGGGAAATATAAGATGGCAACTTACGCTTTGCTTTGACATGTGTTGAGAGTTGAGACTGATATATTGCAGTTGCCAGGGATGTTTCAGAATTCTAATGACTGCTAATAAAAATGTTAGCTATTGCTCAAGCACACGAACTAAAAGTTGTGGTGAAATATTTGATTATTTTTTTCTTAAAATTAAATACGTGGTCTGAAAAATACACCGTATCTACGTGTTAATAAGCAATAGCTTAATATTACTTTAAAAAGAAAAATTATTTTGCAAGTTGTTATAGTGTTCGATTGGATTTGTTTTTTGTTTGTTTGTTTGTTCGTTTGTTCGTTCGTTTGTCCAGCCATTAGGTATGTTAATAATACGTTATAGTATAGGGATATAATTGTTTCTGCAAAACACGTAATATTTTGATTTTACTACTATCATGAATAAATTAGAAATTTGTGAAAATATTTATTGGTTGAATCTGTAAAATGATTTTTTTTTTATTACCCAGATCAAGCACAAGGTTATTATCTGGAATTAGTACTGTTTTGTGGCATAAAATATTTGCATGGCTTTTATAAACTTTTGTCTCAAAGTTTGAGCTTCAATCTTGTTATATTCCCTTCATTAAAAAATATAAGGTATTTTTTAAAAAGTTAGATGTTAAAAAATATAAAGATATTTTTAATCTTTTAAGGTGTACTCCCTCCAGTCCCATTTATAAGTCCCATTTTAAAAGGTCCATTTGATCTCATTTATAAGTCATAATGCGTTTTTTTAAATAATATTTGAAAAACATTTTCAAAATTTCTCTTCATGAGAGAGAAAAAGTAATAGAACATTACTTTTTAAATTTGTTATATAGAGACATGTTTGAAATTTTACTTACTTTTATTTCTTGTACTTTTATTATATTGGTATTGATGACGTTGATAAAAATGACTTATAAATAAGATCAGAAAGAGTAATCATTATCTTTTTTTTCCAATAGTGCCTCCATTAATGATAATTTTATATTTATTATAGAGTAATTAATAAGGCAAATATAAAAATATAAGATTAAATTGAAAATAGGTAAGAGCTCTATTGAGAAGTGAAATTTAATAAAAAATACTTTACATTTTTAAACAAAAAGAGTACAAATTTATGAAAATCAAATTATTTTTATCCTATTTAAAAATACTCAGACTTACTTTTAAGTAAATAATTATCTTATACTTTAGTATCAACTTAATAATATCTTTTAAAATGGAAAAATAATTAAGAATAATTTAGTTAAAAGTTTAAAATTAAACAAAAATAGAAGTAACAGATTTATACATGAGCCAAAAAAATAAAAAAGTAATTTTAGAAATCTTTATAGCATACTAGAGCAATTTGCTCTTGTAATGATGTCTCTCCAGGTTTGATATACATTATTAGCCATGCAGGGATCACTGGATATGTTAGAAGAGTTTGAGATGCAAAGGATTGCATACCTGCGAAGAACATAGGAATAACCAAGCCAACTAAAATCTAATTCGTTAAAAAAAAAAAAAGATGCAATCTAATTCTCTTACCAACAATGCAAAAAAAAAAAAAAAAACAATGCCACACAAACCTAAATTATTATTATGATACATTGCTGGAATAGCAATACTTCTCCACAGTGGCATTGGCAGTCCAGAAAACTCATGATGTCTCTTTACAAGTAGCCTTATTATGGCCTGTACCTTTGCACTTGGTACATGTAACAGTCTTCCTAGATTTCTTTGTTTCCTTATTCTCATCTTTCTTATTTTGGCCATAAGGTCTAGAATTGCAAGGAGGAAGTACATTATTCTCGGTCTCTGTCTCCTGCTTGGCTTCCTCGTCGTTATTGTTCAAATCATCAGAAACAGGGCTTGCGGGTAAATCATCAGAAACAGGATTTATGGATTCAGAGTACACGCGGCGGAAGTTATCAACAGTGAAGTATTCCACACAGTAATCATATAAACTTCGATTGGTGCAATTCAAGACAGCTATAGCATGGCAGCATGGCAGCCCCGTTGCTTTCCACCTTAGACAGCTACAATCCCACTTTTCGATATCCACAACACGGACGGAATCATCATGAACCTCAAACAAGGTGTCTGATGAGAACAAGACTTTAAGGCCCTGTGCCCTGAAAGATTCGTCTTGTAGCATTTCCTCCTTTGATGGAGTCAGTTTTGACGTCCAACTACTTGAATCCACTCGACGATTGTCCATCAACTCCATGATCTTACACCTAAGTGCTTCTACCTTTTGTGTTATGGGTAGCTCTCGCATTTCGTCGATCCATTTGGTGTATAACTCACTAACGTTTATGAGAATGTGATTATGCCGCTCACCTTTGAATGCTGCACTTACCCATTGCTCTGGTTCAACTTGCATGACCCAATCAAATGCTGCTGTTGAGACCTTCCTAATCTGTTCCAAGAACATTCTAAAGCCATCTAGACGCAGTGCATGTGCAGCAGACATAAAATTAACTGGCAAAGAAGGCCTACCTTCCCCATGGTAAGGACCTTTCAGGCTTTTTTTGAAGCTGTCCAAGAGGTGGTACATGGAATAACCATGCTGGGCTTTTTCAAATACCTTTAAAACTGATTGCTTTAACCCCTTCTCTCTGTCAGATACAAAAGTCACGGACTTGGAAGTTGGTACTGCAACTTTTAACTGCTCTAGAAACCAGTTCCAGTTATCATCGTTCTCAATATCAACTATACAGAGTGCAACAGGAAAAGCACCATCATCACCATCTAGTGAAGTAGCTGTCAATAAAACCTCATGATATTTTGACTTGAAAGATGTGGAATCAAGGAATAGAAGAGGGCGGCAGCCAGCCTGAAATCCTTGTATCGAAGCATGAAAGGATAAAAAAAGACACTGAAATCTTTTGTCATCACTTGTGAGGAGCTTGATAAAGCTGCCAGGATTTGCCTCTAACATCTTCTCGCAAAGCCTAGGCAACTGGTTGTATGCCTCTTTGTATGAACCTTGCAAATGTTCCCTAGCTTCCTCAACTGCACGCCATACTTGAGAGTAATTCACCTCAATCCCGAAGTCTCGGTGAATGCTACTAGCAATCTCCTTCGTTTTGTGATGAAGGTTGTCTTGTAATCTGTCCTTTACGACGCTTACCAACCAGTTCTTTGAGGGATGAGCAGACTTCCAAGATTTTCCTCCACAGGTATGTGGCTCCTCCATCTTTTTAATTCTAAATGAATGATCAGATGGGACCCAGGAAGCAAAAATCCTCCATGGACAGTCTTCACATGCACATCTGACTCTGGCACGAATTGTGTCATTCTTGAGATACCTATATGCAAAATGATGTGCAATGGCATATTTCTGCAAGGCGTCACGAAATTCTTGGACACTTGCAAAGTCCTGTCCAACACCAGTAATACTGTCTTTCCAACATTCAGCTAATTTTCCAGGAGTAATATCAGATCCAACATCAAGTAAATTGACCGAATAGTCATTACATGACATATATAGTTGGTGCTCTCCATTATCAGCAGCAATACCACCATGATTTTTCTTTCTCTTTTTCTGTGACATCACTTTTTTATTTTCTTCTGTCTTCACAGATGCTGCTTCAATTGGAGGACCATTAGCAGAAACTTCACGAGATGCAGTACGCCTGCGCTTCTTAACTGCATCTGCAGGACTAGCATCCATATCACTTAAGATTGGACCATGGGAGGATGTATCAGTGGCAATGGCAACAGAGCAAGGTGGATTGGAACAGGAAGCGCCATGATTACTAGTAACAGCATGATTTGGAGAACGGTTTGCAGAAGTGCCAACTGCAGGGAGACTTATGGTAGTCAATTTAACTGATAAAAAGTCAGCAAATTTGGCACACAAGCAAGAGGGGTAGGTGCGGACATTAAGGTAGCAGCAGCCATACCTGATGCAATTTGCTTGCGAACAGTCTTAGGTTTTGCTTTTGAAGGACTGGCAGCAGTCACAGCTTCAGCTGCTCTTACATCGTGTCTCCTGAAAATGAAGACAAGCTTTATTTGATGTGGATAGACTGAATAAAACTAATTTCAGCAATAAGAAAGCTAATTCTAGCACACAATACCATAGGGGAAGAATCGCTATTTCATCAGAAGGGAAGATTTGCTTTGTCTAAAAATTCAATGACAGTGAAGGAAAATTATGAAAGAAGAGAATTTAAAGAACAACCTGGTATTCATGTTTAAAGATTCCTGGTCAAACCCTTCTTTCCCAGAAACAAAGACGTCGGCAGTAATTGAATCCACATAAAATTCTTTCATCCTCTTAAGGTCTCGATCATTTGATATACAGATTAAAGTTTTCCTGTTCCCTGGAAGAAAATACTTGATGGACAAGGTCTTGCTTTGTAAATTCCATAATTCAGCAAGTTTTAACTTAAGGTCATCAAAACTCGTTTCATGATTGATCTCCACAGCATGTGCTTCGCCTCTAGTATATGACATAGATCCATCATCATTTGTCAAAAATTCACCACCAGATTGGCTGATCAGTATAAGCTTCCCCTTTACCATTTCCACAACTAAATTGAAATTCATGTGTAAGTGTCTAAATTATACCCAACAGTCAAACAGCTAAAACAAAAATTGCATTCAAGGATAATGACAATTTAGAGGAAGGCCAACAATTTTCAAGAAAGAGTGCAAGTGTTATTTGCAAAATAACAATCTGTAAGATGTCATTGTAAAAGTGTAGCATTCTTGATTCCATGATTTTAGAAATTCATCCACTCAACCCAAGAAAAGTGCGATCGCAACAGCAAAGGCAGGCATGAATGAGCATAAGATACCAGCACTCAACTAGATAGGATGGTATACAAATTCATTGGCACACGTATCTCCCTAAATTTTTATCTTCATAGGAAAATTGCCATGTAAAAACATATAAAAGAAGGAGAGGAAATTGATCAGGATTGACAAGAGCCTTGTTACAGTTGAATCTTTCAACAACTACAATGAGAGCCAAGTTTTTCACTTCAACAACAGCTTGGTTTTCACTAAAGACTGAATCGTTTTAACGATATAGACTGAGCAAGAACATAGGCAAACCTATAGGCTCTACAACGGATGCTTAACTGGAAATAGTTATCAGCAAAGTCAACGAACAAAGTTTATCACAAGCGGCAGTGATCGATTATTTCATAAGAATCCCATCAAAAGCACATGATAAGTAAATTTACAGTTATGGATGATCAACATAACAACATCAATGAGCATCAGTTAACTGGTCCCGAAGTGGGAATATGATTTTCGTTTTATCTCGGGAAGAAGTTGATGAGCAAGCCTATATGTTGAACAAAGAATATGACTATTCTTTTCAGCAGAAATCGTACCCATTTAATGGAAATGGATAAAATTAGAGGATGGAAAAGTCTACGGTGATGTTTCAACTGGAAATAGTCATCGAATAAGTCAACCAACACAACTTCCATTGATGAAATATTTCCAAACATTTCCATCACATGCACAACATGCATAAACTTGTAGTGACAAACCATCAACAATTGAACACCAATGCACCTTTGTAAACGGTCCAGAGGTGGGACGAAGAAGATGATAACTTTTTCTCTAATTAAAAAATAATAATTCTACGAGTCGTTAAGGCCGATTGATCCGACAAGCGTTTACAGGAACAACATCCGGGCAAGAGGAATGAACCCCAGCTGGTGGAAGAAGAAGAATAAGGACTTACCCAGGGAAGGGTCTCTGAAAAGAGATTCAGATGCACAGAAAAACCTAGGATTGGGGCCTCTTGTGAAAATAGGGTAAAGAAGAGTGAGCGAATCGAAGTTACGAGAGAAGGGTGTGTTTGGAACTTCGAGATTGTAAAGGGGCTAATTTTAAAATGAGTAAAGTACGGGATACATATTTTTGGGCCCAATCTCGTTTGCGGAGCTATCAACTTGTCAAATATATGTTATAGAGTGTTGGCCAAAAAAATCATCATCAAAGGTAGTCATAAATTTCCATACAAATGCTATATCGTGTGTGACGTTAAATAAAAATCATTATTTATTTTTTAGTTAGTTTTACTTATGAATTTTATATATTTAGTACTGTAAAAAGTACCTCAAAATACCTGAATATACATTCATAAAATAATTCTTCTCTAAAACTTACACAATTTGATCATGAGTTCTTCTTCTTTTTTTTTTTTAGATTTTACTTTTCTTACTTGTTTTGTTTGTATAATTATCAAGGAATAATTCAGGTCAAAAAAATTATCAAGGAATAATAAATTGTTGTGATATCTTGGCTGACATTTGAGCAATTTTTATTCCATAAACCTTGGGTTTATAATGTCAATGAATAATTAAATATCTTTCACTACTTTAATTTTAATATGGTAATTAATATATGCTTTTTGAACATTCTGTAGTTGTATAAAAATTTAAAAAAGGGAGAGAAGATATAATAAAATAATTTGGCGAAATTGCATTACGAGCAAATTATTTAATGTTTTTAACCTTGTATTAGAATATTAAACAACCCTTAAAAATATTGAAGGGAGTATATGTTTTACTAACGAGGTTTTAGAACAACATGAGATGAAGTACTCACAAAATTTGGTCAATAGATATTAAAAGTGTCAAATTTTTCATGAATTTTTTGTTATTGCATGTCCAGGGCCATTGCATTTTTAGGGCCAAATTGGATATCTTTAATTAAAAGCTTCAATTTTCTTATCAGTTTATCTAAATATTAATTGAAATTGGATTTAGTAAGATAAACTAATCCCTCATAATATAATAAATAAATGTTTGAATTATTATTTAAAAATGTATCGGCATTAATGTTCAATAATACCTTAAATAAAATTTTATGGCTAGTCAAAAAATGACTTAAAATCAATATAAATGCGAGGTTTAACAACTTTGCCTTAAAATTGTAAATTCTTTTTTAAGTGAAAACCAGAAATCCATTAAAGTAAATCCAACTGATACAAGGGATCAGAAAACAAAAATAAAGACTTAGATCTGTTTTTGGTTTCTATTTTTAAAAACAAAAGATATTGTTTGGACAAATATTTTAGTTTTAATCGTTTTCAAAACTCTTTTTATTTTTTTAAAAAGAAAAAAATATTTTAAAGTTGTTTTCAGGTTTTTTTCCTTCAAAACATACGATATTTGATTACTAAAAAATTTTAACTAGCTCCATCAATTTTTATTATAAATTATTATCATTAATTACATGCAATCATTATTACGACCTTATTTTTTAATTTTAAAATTAATATAACCCACTAGATTTTATTTTATTTTTTTAAAAAAATAATTTTAAAAATTATCTTATAAAACATTTTTTAAAAATAAAAAATGATAGAAAAACCAAACAAGCCTCTAAATTCTTTCATCATCTTTCACTACTAAAATAAAAAATAAATGTTTTATAAAAAAAAAGGAAAAATAATAATTAATTATTTATTATTTATAAGTCGAGTGGGGTGGGATAACATCTATGGCAAATCTCTCTCAGCGAGCCTTTAACACATCCGCATATTTATAACTTGAACATAAAATTATTTGATCAAATTAGTATAATAATTTATTCTCAGTTAAGCTACGTGCTTCTAAATAATGAACCTGCGTGTGACACGGGAAAAAAGAATTTAATATTACAAAATTCAGGAAATAAACAATTCGCGCCTGCGCGGATCAACCATAAGTCCATCGAGGCTGTGCAGGAATTTCAAAGGAAAGAAAGAGCGAAGAATAACTGAATGTGGGTCCCACCTGACTTCGTTGCTTCTTAGTCTCTCTCTTTCTCGTACCCTGTCCGATATCCAATGCTGGAGTCAGGAGAAAATCCCGATCCGAATCCCCCGCGTATCTTTCTTCTCCCGTCAAGCTTCGTCTCTCTCCGCCGACAAACCCCCAATTCCGGTGGCGGGAACGGGACTTGACCGTTAGGTGAGACTGGGGTTTCTTCTTCACAAAGAAAAAGAACATTGTTCTTTTCTGTTCCTTTGGTTCGTTTCTTGTTCAATCCTCTTTCCTGGGCGGGGCTTTTGGAGGTATGGCCTTTACGACGAAATTTATTGCAGAGAAGGTGTTTCAGAAGGTGGGAGGATACTATCATGGGGGTAACAGTCAGAAGAGAAGTGGCCGTGAGACTCACTTCAATCTCGCCGATGACGACGGCGGTGGTGACGATGACGCGGGGATGGAGCTTGTGCAGCTTGGAGCTTCCAGATCCAAGAACGTGTTGATTCTGATGAGTGATACTGGTGGTGGACACAGAGCTTCGGCCGAGGCCATTCGTGATGCGTTTCAATTGGAATTTGGGGACGAGTACTGTGTATATTACTTTCTAGTTTGTTCTTCGTTTTGCTTTCTTTTGAGATTCTTTCTCCATCAAAGACATAATGTTGTGGATCTGCCATTTTTGCTTTCTCCCGTCCTCCCTCTGCAAATATGTTTGCTGTATAGTCAAAATTAGCTGATAAGCATTCCTTGGTATTTTTCTTGACTTCTTGAAGCTATATGCCCAGCTTTGGGGGGACGTATATGTCATTGTCAATACCTCCTTCTCCTCCTCCTTTAACGATCAAGTATTTCTTCCTTCCCATTTCTGGGCTGATCAGATTATCTCTGCATATTTCAGATATTTGTTAAAGATGTTTGGAAAGAGTACACAGGATGGCCATTGAATGACATGGAGAGTCAATATAAATTCATGGTGAAACATGTGCAATTGTGGAATGTTGCATTTCATAGTACCTCTCCCAAATGGATACACTCTGTCTATCTAGCTGCTATTGCTGCCTACTATGCCAAGTATAATCCTCTTCTAACTCTTTTCCTCTTTTGTTTACAACTTATATGCTTCCCCAGATTACAATGTGCAACTGCAAGGGTTAAGCAGCGTCACCAAATTTACTGTATTGTACACTTTGATTACTAGTTTGCCATTATAACCAACAGAAATTTCTATGCTTGGAATACAAATTGATGTACTTTAAACTACGTTCTTGTTGGTTTTCTTAGAAAATCCTGGGCAGACAGAGGAATGAACGGTATAACCATGTCAATGAAACCTACCTCTATCATGTTTATTTATATATCTATTCATCATTATATTAGTTTTTTTAATTTTGATAGACTAGGTCTCAATATGACTAGCTAATGATATTTTCCTACAAAAGATGACTTTAAGAACCTCTAGTTAACCATGCCAATTCACGTTTGTTGCAAAATAATTAATAATTATTTCTTCTCTCAAAGGAAAAAGTATGATTTTCTTGAGCTAGAGGAAGCTATTAGTTTTTGCATAGCTTGCGATGTTGAAATTAAATGGTATTTCCTAAATTGTCTAGCACTCTCAATCTGTCAGGGAGGTGGAAGCAGGGCTGATGGAGTATAAACCAGATATTATAATCAGCGTTCATCCCCTAATGCAACATATTCCATTGTGGGTTCTTAAGTGGCAAGGTTTGCAGAATAAAGTGGCTTTTGTCACGGTGATCACAGACCTTAGTTCCTGCCACCCTACTTGGTAAGGCCACTACACCGTTTTAATCTTCTTTCCTAGTTTGGTTAAAGTAATAACGTTTACATGCTCTTAAGCTTGAAGTTATCCCCAGGTTTCATCCAGGAGTCAGTAGGTGTTACTGCCCCTCTCAGGAGGTGGCCAAGAGAGCCTTACAAGTTGGCCTTGAAGAGTCTCAAGTCTGTGTTTATGGCTTGCCCATCAGGCCTTCGTTTGCCCGTGCAGTTCTCTCTAAGGTATGCATTTTGTCAAACACTTTCAATTCAAGAGTCTAGACTGTTGAGTTATTGACGCCTATGAATAACTTTATCGTACACTTTGGGACCATGTGAAGGACCAACTCAAAGACCGCTCGGTGAAAGCTTATGAAGAGTTTTATGACAATCTCTAACATTTCTATGGTTAGTTTTGGTGTGGATGATATGATGAGTTCTGTTCTAAACATTTTACTTTCTTATAGGATCAATTAAGAGAAGAACTTGAGTTGGACCGAAACTTGCCTGCAGTTTTGCTGATGGGGGGTGGCGAAGGCATGGGTCCTGTTAAGAAAACAGCAAAGGCCCTGGGAGAATCACTTTGGGATAAAGTCGCTGAGAAACCAATTGGACAGTTGATAATAATCTGCGGTCGTAATGAGAACTTAGCATCCACGCTTCAGTGTTTTGAATGGAAAATTCCTGTAAAGGTTTGGCTTCTATCTCAATTTCACATATTTGAATATACAACATTGAATCAGCAGAGTAGAATGGTATACATTGAACTTTTGTTTATTACCGTTGCAGATAAGAGGATTTGAGACTCAGATGCAGAAATGGATGGGAGCCTGTGATTGCATAATAACAAAAGTAGGTGTCATTTCACCAATCTGCAATTTAGATGCTGCTTCTTATTTATAGCAGAAGCTTAAGAGTTCCCACTTTTATGAACTTCGTAGGCTGGACCAGGTACCATTGCAGAAGCATTGATCAGAGGGCTTCCTATAATCCTCAATGACTATATCCCTGGACAGGTGAGTAATGAAATGAGAAATTCTTAGGCAGACCTTATATACCAAATATGAATAGACTAAGCCAATCATGATCAAGAATAGATATATCGGCATGTCATGCATAGTTCGGCTGACCTTGTATGTCAAATTCTTATGCGGACCTACTAACCTAGTTAATCAAATGTAAAAGAAAACTAAGCCGATGACTGGGCAAGTAAGCGTGCAAAACATCCTTTCACAAGCTCAGCTTTGACATTTTTACATGCCTACGGTATAATTAAACCACGTTTCAGTGAAAACAAATCAAAGGCTGCTTCCACAAAACTGTGGTTTCATGGTTTCCAATAGAAAACTAAACATACACTATGTCTAAGAATCTCTTTTGATCAAATTGTGGTAATCTTTTGCATTTAGATTTTCTCACTGATTTCACCAAGTATTCTTTTTTTTTTATGGTTGAAATGGTGAGTACAGGAAAGGGGTAATGTACCTTATGTGGTCAACAATGGGGCAGGAGTGTTCACCAGGAGTTCCAAGGAAACAGCAAGAATAGTGGCAGGATGGTTCAGTACGAAATCTGATGAGTTGCAGAGAATGTCAGAGAATGCACTGAAGCTAGCACAACCAGAGGCAGTGTTTGATATCGTGAAAGACATTCATGAACTTGCCAAGCAATATGGACCTTCAGCTAACTTTCCTTACATCTTGACCTCATCCTTTACCAGCTTGTTCTAGTGATGTTGATTTCTTCATCTTCAATCCACGTTAAGCATTGTGTAAATTGAAACTGGCATGTACAGTTTTACTCCCTAATTTATTTGTGTCATTCTTTTGTCCTAGTAGCTTGGTCACAAGCTCAGATGTTCGTGAGAGATGAGATGTCTAGGAGGGTTCTGTGACGAAAACGGGACTTTATCTGTGTGCAAGGTCCAAATTTTGTATGGATTGTTTTAATGCAGAGATTTTACTCTTTTTCTTATTGTTTTAATGTGAGTGTTTTAGACGATTATATTATATTCAGTGCACAGAGATATTGATGAACTTTATAATAGATAGGCGTATGATGCATTTGTATTGTACTTGAAGCATGGATTTCCAGGACCTCTTGCAATCGCAAATCGAGCAAGCAGATTATGAACTAGAATGAGTAGTTCTTAGTGACCAATTATCAGAGGGGAACGTCGTGTATTGACACTAAAATGGTTAATAATGCCTTATGCTTTGGAGCAAGTATTTGTGTTTTAAGCCAAGCAAAGAGGAAGTGGAGAGTTTTTTTATTTTTGGATACAAGGAAGAGGGATAAGGCTTCAGAGAGAATCAACCAGGTCCAAATAAAGTTTTTATAGTCTCGAGGAGGCTCCTTCAAAACTGTAGACTCTGAATCGATATCAGTACTGTATGGAAATTTTGTAGTGAAATCTGCACAGGTATTGATTTCTTTATCGTCTGCGACCTCCTAATCCTTCACAAAGCGATGAGATAAATTGTGAATGTAATAGCCTTAACAAATTAACGTCAAATTTATCAATATATCAACATGTGCATATAATTTATAAGAAATATGGTTCACTTTAGACTCTGATTCTATATAAGATAAAAGTATAAATTTGGTTATCAACTATTTTTTAAAAGTATTGAGTAGTTTATACTATAAGATGGTGCAAAATAAATTTTTAATTTTAAAAATGAATAGCAGTTTTTGTTAATTTTATTTAATGGATGCTAACTTCTCATGTGAAACCCACAAATTTTTTATTAAGATGATATGTGGCACTCCACCTCAATAAATGAAGGTGTAAATCTAGTTATAAACTATTTTTCAAGAAGCACTGATTAACCTCTATTATAAAAAATAAATCATCTAGCACCTTTTTCATCAATTTTAATCAAATACAGTTTATTTTCACTTATAGTATTCACAATGTATCAATCTTTTCAATATTTTTGTCTTCATTTGTAGTCTCAATTCAAGAAGAAGAGATTTAAAAATTTTATTTGAAAATATTTATAAAAATGATGCTAACGAAGTAGAAGAAGAAGAGAAAAAAAATAAGGTTTCATTAAATTTATGTGGCAATTCGAACAAAGTAGAATAATACTATGCATGGGAGAAGGTTGATTCAAGCTTAATTTAGTCATGAATTATTTTTATAGAAAATGAAGCGATTGAATCAAACTTCCCCAAGCATAGTACTATCACAACTTAAACTGATGCTTCGCTCGAATTACCACAAAGATTTAAACCAAACCTTATCTTTTTCCTCTTTTTTTTCTATTTTGTTGGTATCGTTCTCGTGAACTCAAATAAAAACTTTTTGAAATTCTCTTTCTTGAGTTGAGATTAAGTATTAATGCAAAAAGATTAAAGATATTGACATGTTATAAGTCTTATAAGTCTGAAAATAAACATAGTTTGGTCAAAATTAATGGAAATGCGTTGGATGATTTATTTTTTATAATAGAGGCTATCCAATACTTTTTTAAAAAATAATTTTTAATTAAATTTACACCTTTATTTGCTGACATAAAGTGTCATGTATCATGTCAATCAAAAATTTGTGAGCTCCACATAAAAAGTTAATATCCATGAAATAAAAGTAAATGAAAACTGTTGGATACTCTATTTTTAAAAATTGAAAAGCTTTTGAAAAAATAATTGAAGGCCAAATTTATATTTTTATCCTTCCCTATATTGCTTGGCCTCATCTTTAGATTTTTTTTTTGGGCGAATGACTTGTGTTTAGTGAACAAATAAAAATAACACCATTAACTCGTTCTTGAGGAAAAATAGAACCATTTTTACTGGGGAAAATTGTTTCGGTTATTATTCACATTAACATTTCAAAGTTTGGGTTTTCTAAAACATCCCAATTGATCATTGACCTAGGTGATAGTGATTTTTATAACTTCATAATTTAAGGAAAATGGTTGAGGATTGGAATTTCAACCCCGGTATTTCTAATGTTAGCTTGGAAAGGTTTACCATATGCCCTTACGACGTAGAAAAATAATACCTATTGTCTGCATGGCTTTATATTGCAAAAAAAAAAAAAAAATCCCAATTGAATTTCTTACCTTTAAATAATTTTTTAAGTTGTTATATTATTTTTTGACCAAATTTTAAATTGTTATATTAAGAAAATCACTTCGAACTTCGTCCAAGCGACGAGTGGCAACAGCAGCAGTATCTTGGTTTGCTTCTCCTGTCGTCTTCTTTCTCCCTCGTGTTAGGGTTTGGAAGACTGCAAATTGCCTCCATTTCTTCACACACACCATTCACACAATCTTCCTTGCCTATTACGTCAAATTAATGCGACTTTTTGGCCGATATTTAACTGCATTGAACGACATATTGGAAAATCGCGTTTCATCTGCGGTTTCGTTCTCGGCCGTTCACGATATCGAAAAATAACGATTGTATCGCTCTCATAACGAAAATTTCATTTCCAACTACACCACTTCTCAAATCTTTGTTGAGAAATTGCATCTCCACTCACCCAACGGAGGGTGGTCCCAGCAACCTTATATCGTCTCTTTCGTCGCTGAATTTTGCCACGGATTTGTTCTGCCGAACGTAATTCATCGTTCCGTGTTCTACCATTCAGGTATCTTGATCTATTGGTTCGAGCTTCTTGATGATCTATTAATTCAGGCTGGCTTCTTAGACATTGGTTGATGTTGTTTTTCATGATGCTTTTGACAATTTTGGGTTGCATTTGGAAAATCGGATCATTTCAGCAATCGAGTTGTTCCGGCGCAACATCGTTTTATCCGGATAAAAGAGATGGTATGCGGCGTGAATATGTTTCGTCCCCATTTTATGCTTTTAGAATCTAGTTCCTGTTGTAAATTGCTTAATGAAGGGCAATCAAATTTCACAGTAACTTTTAGAATTTGTCGAAACCTGTACTTCCACTGATATCACTTGAGATTTGAAGGTTCATCATTCTAGTTTTGTGGATGAAGAAGGAGTCGATAAAGCTTGTGGGTGCCCTCTACTTCCCTTGAAAAGCCACATAAAGGGACCGGCTCCAAATTCAGATCAAGGTTTTACTTATTTATATCTTGTGCCTAAAATATTGTCTTTTCCCTAATTTGGAAATTGAGACCTGCGTTTATGCAGACAGAACTGATATAGTGGATGAAGCAATCACGTTCTTTCGCGCCAATGTCTTCTTCAGAAACTTTGATATCAAGAGCCCTGCTGATAAGCTTCTTATATACTTGACATTTTACATTAACGTGGCTCTCAAGAGGCTTGAAGGTTGCAGAACTTTAGCTGAAGGAACAAAGGCGATCATTAACTTGGGTCTGGAAGAGGTTCCTGTACCTGGAGAGTCTGGCTTTCCCTTTCCAGGTCTTTTCCCACTTCCGCAATCGCGGAAGGAAGCAGGTGAATGTCTTGTTCTCCTTATCTGCCTTTGATGTCACAATTTATGTCAGGATGCTTGAATATATTCTTTGTATGTCAGTAATATCTGCGACTTGTTTCATTAAATTTTTTTTTTTTATGTTTATTGCACTTAGTATTCGTGTCATGACTAAATTTATTTCTTGCGATGTCTGTGATGCTCTACTCAACATGTTAAAAGTACTTTTGTTTTTAATTGGCTAAAAACTGAAATTTTACCAAGTTCCCCTGTGTACAGGCTTACTAGTTTTCATTGATTTCTGGCTGAAGAATTGTTTGATGGTATATTGATATAGTCTACTATAAATCCATATGATCAAGTGAGTGGATCATATTATTTGTTCAGGTATTATTTGTCCGAAAGCAAGTTGTTTCAGAGTCTTGAAAAGTTTAAACTGCATGCCCATGCCTTTCATTGTATGCAGTTAAGGTACACTGTGGTAGTCTGGATCTCTTTGTCAATTTAAAACTCAAAAGTAAATTGGAAATGATGAAATAACACATTCAGTGATAATGGCAATCATTTTCTAGTGTCTTCAATGTATCTTCATAACAGTAAGCACGATGCTAAGTCACTAAGCAGATGTTTGTTATGGCATTGAAAACTGAGTTCTAAACAGACTTCCTTTTGATAACCAAGGGTGAAGGCTTGAAAACTTTCCTCTCAGAAAAGCTAGTATCAAACTCCTCCAAAATCTTGGGGTGGATGGCACATTTGAAGACAACGATTTTTGGCTATTGGCAGGTGGATTTCCACTGAAAGAAATAGAAGGAAGAAACGGAAATTACTTTTTAAAGTACACAAAATTATGCACTCCCATGATCCTCCACAAGTAGAAAGTAATGATTATGATCTCCTCAATTTTGTACCTTCTCAGATGCTATGGAGAATTTTTCATGCCTCCTATGTTTCTAGATTTTCGTTCATCTGTATCATCTCAATGTCATTGACTCTACTTCTAAACTACAGCTCTGACTTGTTTAAATAGTTTTATTCTTGCCACTGTTTTTAGGCTGCTCCTTATTTCCAATAGACTATGACCTTGTAATATTGACTGAGGTTAAGTTGATTCATTTGTTTGCTTCTTTTTACTCTGCATTTTTTTCTATTAGCATAATCTGGAGTGTTGTGCATTTGCAACTGTCTTGGAACAACCAGCGCGTTGCACGGGGTTGTGGCTAGTTGACTTAGTTGCAAGTAGTGGCTTTTGCATTTTCATCGATATGGGTGCAATTAGTATTTCTTCCTGCTATTTCCATTGTGAAGATGCTGGATAAAGATAAGAAAACTAACATAATATCTCATCTAGTCTATGGGTCTAATAATATATAAATTACGTAGCAAGTTATTTGAGAATTTAACTTATGAATAGTGTTCTGATTTGGAAGATTTAGTTTGTGTTGGACTACGTTTTTTTGTCTTCCTTTTTTCCTTATATTGTTTGAGTATTATTTTGATGTGGGAACTGTGCGATTTGTCATGTAGTATAATGACTTACACGATTTTAACGAGTCTTTATATTTATGTGCAGCTTCATCTTTTGATTTGATGGAGCTTATTTATTTGTTTTTACATATGGGATTTTTGCTTAAATATTAGTTACCCATATAATGCACAAATTATAATTTCTAGTTTTCTTACATATTGAGATCAGGAAGCATCTTAGGCGGCACTGTTAATCTAGTATATTTTTAATATTATGCTCAGCTTCTGTCTGTTAAAGCAGTGTTGCAATGTGATTACATTTTGTAGACCACATAAATTCTTATTTTTCAAGTTTCGTGATTATACCGAATGCAGAACTATTCAGAAATTATTTGAAGCAGATAAGGGAGGAAACAAGTGGGAGGTTATTGAGCGTGGCATACAGACCCAATGGGACTCCCAATAAATGGTGGTTGGCATTTGCAAAGAGGAAATTTATGAATATTATTGTTCCTTGAATTGTTGAGACAGGCAGACGGTGCTTGAATCTTGGGTTAAGCTGTGAGAAATATATTTAACGCTGAGTTTATATGTGAATGAGATTTATGGTACAGAAATGGATGTACTATTTTTTTCTTGTTTGGTCTTCACGCACCGTATACTAGGTATCCAACATCTTTCACAAAACCTGTCATGTTTTGGTGAGTTCGTTAGATAGGGTTCACCTTCAGCACCACCTTGTAACGGATACGTCGAATGTATCACCGCTAGAGTCTCTATTCCAGTCATTTTCTGCTTTGAATGCTCATTAGCATTTGCAATTCTTAGTCTATTCCAATGTTGTTTTAGTAAGATGATGTTCATCAGCATTGCAACTCAGTTAATCTATTCAATCAAGCAATATATACAATAAAATTTGAAGCGAATGACATTATTCATAAATTATATAAATGCATTTCATTTGTCAGACTTTGTAAAATATAAAACAAGTTGTGTATTTTGTTTTTTTTTTTAAATTAATTTTTAATCTTCAATTTTTAATTTACTTATAACTCAATCTGTCAATTATGGCTTACTGTAATGCAATTCCTTAACTTTTAATTCATTCTTAATTTAATTTCTCAATTTTTGTTAGCTTTATTTTTTTATGTTAATTTAGATCTCACATTAAAGTGTAAGAGGTGGGTATTTTAGAGTAAAATATGAACATTTTTTTATTCATTTTATTTGATAAGAAATTTTTAACAAAAAATTAAAAAATAAGAATCGAGTTATAAGTAAAATAAAAAGTGAGAGATTCAATTGTAGCAAGTTATAGTTAAAGAATTCAATTATAGGTGAGTTAAAAATTAAAAAATTAAAAAAAAAATTTGGGCCAAGAAATCGTATATAATGTTCAAATCATAATCTATAATCTATGCACTGCAAGTGCAATCAACTGAGTTCCTCCTGTTGAACATCTTTTGTTTTGTTTTGTTTTTTTTTTGTTTGGAAAAAAATTCAAAATACTTGAAATGCAAAAAAAATATAGAGATTTAAAGTTATATTTTTTTTAAATATTTGTTGTTAAGTAAACATTCTTTTCATCATATTAGAATTGTAGTTTATCAATATTTTCATAAAATTTGAGATAGAGTTGTACTGTTTACGAATAATAATTTATATTTTATAATAATATTGATATTGATGATTGTTTTCATTTAATTTCATTGATTTAATTTAAAGTGTAATTAGAAATTACCCTTGCAGGTTGTAGAGGGGTTGGAAAAGCATGGAATCCTAATAAATTATAATTTATTAGTTTAGATTAAATTTTATAAAAGAGTAAAATTATGCAAATCTTGAAATCTTGATCGAACGCCTAGCTGCTATGTCTTGAGTGGTCCCGAGCGCATCACATTTGGCTCCTCTATCTTTATCCCGGTTTTATCTGTTTTATTTTACTGATAAAAAATATGTTTTATTTATTTATTTTCCATTCCTTCACTGTTCTCTTCGAGCTCGATTTGTTCTCATTACGGAATCAGGAGGATGAGGTTCAAAATCAACCCAAGTCGGAGAAAATAAAAACAAGACAAAGAAGAAGAAGAAAAGGCCAAAAGGTGTGTTTGGGGCTGTCTCTGTCTTATCGGAAATCATCTTCTTCCTCATCCTCAATCTTCACGCCTCCTTCTTCCTCTTCATTTCTCCAGAAAAGGAAGTAAATTGGACCTTTGCCAATTCTCCAATTATCGTCAAGGTCTTGGCGGCTTTAATTGTTCCTTTGCTTGATCGTAGACTAGGGTTTTTGGGAGGTTGATGATCAGGTGTGAGAGGAATTCTTCCTCGAATTTGAGTATCATAGAGAGTATATGCTATCCAGAAGCGTGAGTCGTTGCTGCCAATGACCTTTTGCCTTGACTATTCCTTGCTTTGGTTTGTTGGTTTGATGCTAAGCTTCAAGTCACTTGTTGCAATCTGACAATACAGGTAACTCTTTTTCGATTATAATTTCTCTATTTGCCATCGGTTAAGTTCGAAACTAATCATGATTCCGACAATTAATAATGAGAAGCTTTGTATGAAAGGCTTTCTCTGGCTTATACGCCTGTTTGATTAGGCTTGCGTATTTTGTTCTATATTTGTAGACTTCGTTTTTCTGGCCGGAAAGTAGTACCATAGTTATGGGCAGCTAGTGCTCTCATGATACTAATGAACTGTGGCGCTTAAAGAATAGTTCGTTTGCGAGATTTTATGTCGTGACATTGACTGTCTATTGGGGCGGCGCTTTGTTTGTGATGGTACTATTGATTGCATCTGTTTCCCCAATCCCCACGCGTGTAAATTACAAAACGTGGTTTTATTTATCTCACATGGAACTTAAAAATAAAATGTACCATTTGTTGATTGAAAGGTGCAGAAGCAGAAGACCAGTCAGCTGGTTTGTTGATTGCATGTGATAAACATTTTGCATGTTCTGTCTGAGGCATTGTCAGATGATGATTATTTGGGCCTTTCTTTTCTTATCTTGTAGAAGAATGAAAAGTTTTAGAGATTGGATTTTCTCTCAGTTACTATCCAAGACATTAATCTCATCTAGACCACTATCAGGCAGTGGTAGTTTCTATGACGAGGGACCTCAGAGTGGAGAATACGAAGGGCAAGGTACAGTTTTCATTGCTTGTCTGGAATTACTAAAATAAAAAACATAATCATAGCATTTTTTACAGCAGAAGATCTTCATGCAAGTTATGCTTGACAAATAAATGCCTGGTTAAGCTAACTATCAAGTTCAATGGGAGTCATTAACATATAATCATACGGTGGTCTGTATACTTCTTTATGTGTCAGTTTTTGACTAGTAGAACGACATAATGCTTGGAATCAGCTCTTGTAAGGAATGGAAACAGAAATTCTTGGACTCCATAAACTATCTGAAATTCTTGATAACTTTCTTTGCTAGGACGGTATTATATAAGTGTGATGGCAAGTGTCCTGGTTTGCCCATAATAGACAAATGTGAGCTAAAGATGATACTCTTTTTTCTTGGTTAGGTATGGTTCAGTCAGCTGGTTTGGTAGTGCCATCACTTGCTTCTACTACATCAAACTCTTCTGATGGTAATCAGAGCAATCAACATAATTCCACCATGCAGCGGGTATCAGATACAGAACCCTGTCACTCTCAACATTGTGTCATAGAAAAGCAGAAGGATCCCTTGGCAAAGATTGAAGATCTCCAAGTTAAGTTCTTCCGACTGCTTCAGCGCCTTGGCCAGTCACAAGAAGATCTTCTGGTTGCAAAGGTTCTTTATCGGATGCACCTAGCAACATTGATTCGTGCTGGGGAATCAGATCTGAAAAATGTTAACCTTAGCATTGGCAGATCACGATCATTAGCAAGCCAGCAAGAGGCAATTGGTGTTCCCCAATTGGATTTCTCCTGCAGCATACTTGTCCTGGGTAAAACAGGAGTTGGTAAAAGTGCTACCATAAATTCCATATTTGATCAACCAAAAACCATAACTGATGCGTTTGGACCTGCAACTAACAGGATTCAGGAAGTTGTGGGAACTGTCAATGGGTTTAAAATAAGGGTAATAGATACCCCTGGTCTCTTGCCTTTCTCTACTAGTAATGTGAAGAAAAATAAGAGAATCTTGCTTTCCATAAAGAGATTTATTAGAAAGGCCCCCCCAGACATTGTTTTGTATGTTGAAAGACTTGATCTTATCGGTGCAGGCTATAATGACTTCCCTATTATGAAACTTATAACTGAAGTATTTGGCACGGCAATCTGGTTCAACATCATCCTTGTCTTGACTCATTCTCACTCAGCTATTCTGGAAGGACCTGATGGGCACATTTTCAATCATGAGTTATATGTGTCTCAACGTACTAAATTAATGCAGCACTATATTCATCAGGCAATTTCTGACTCAAGGCTTGAAAACCCCATTCTTTTGGTTGAGAACCATCCTCTGTGTCCAAAAAATATTATGGGGGAAAAGATTCTTCCAAATGGACAAGTCTGGAGATCTCAATTATTGCTATTTTGCATTTGTACCAAAATTCTGGCAGATGTCAATTTCCTTCTTAAGTTTCAGGACAGTGTGGAACTGGGCCCTTCAAATAGCGCAAGAATGCCTTCTCTGCCTCATCTTCTCTCATCCCTTTTACGCCGGCACTCTGTATCTCATCCAAGTGGAATGGATGATGAAATTGATCAAATATTACTCAATGATATGGAAGAAGAAGATGAATATGATCAATTGCCCCGTTTCGAATTTTGAATAAGGCCCAGTTTGAAAAATTGTCCAAGGTGCAGAAAAAAGACTATCTTGATGAGCTGGATTATAGAGAGACTCTCTACTTAAAGAAACAGATGAAAGAAGAGTACCACAGGCACAGAGAGAAGATGCTCTTGAAGGAGCAAAATATGTTGAATACCGATCATCCTGATGATCAGAATGAACCTCCGGAGCCTATTCTGTTACCAGATATGGCTGTTCCTGTGAGTTTTGACTCAGATTGTCCTCTATATAGATATCGTGGCCTTGTTGCAAGTGACCAATGGCTTGCAAGGCCTGTTCTTGATCCCCAAGGATGGGATCACGATGTGGGCTTCGATGGTATAAACTTGGAGACAGCTATCGAAATAAACAAGAACACATATGCATTGCTCTCTGGGCAGATGAATAAAGAAAAACAAGATTTTAGCATTCAATCAGAGTGTGCTGCAGCTTATGTGGATCCTAGGGGTCTTACAAATTCTATAGGTGTTGATGTTCAATCTGTTGGTAAAGATATGATTTGTACAATTCATGGCAACACAAAATTGAGAAACATAAAGCATAATATTGCAGATTGTGGTGTTTCTGTGACATCTTTTGCAAAGAAGTATTATATTGGTGCTAAGATTGAGGATACTTTACTTGTAGGGAAAAGACTAAAATTTGTCCTAAATGCAGGCCACATAGTTGGTGCTGGACAAGTGGCATATGGTGGAAATTTTGAAGCTACTCTAAGAGGAGGAGATTTTCCCGTGAGAAATGACAATGTAAGTCTCGCAATGACAGTCCTCTCCTCCAATAAAGAGATGGTGTTGAGTGGAAGCTTACAATCCGAGTTCAGGCTGGGTGGAAGCTCTAAAGCTTCTGTTAGTGCTAATCTCAATAGTCGGAAAATGGGGAAAATATGTATAAAGACAAGTAGCTCAGAGCATTTACAGATTGCTCTTGTTGCAGTGTTCTCAATTTTGAAGGGCTTGCTACGTCCAAAGGCAGCTGATATAACATGAACAAGGAAGCAAGAGATTGAGGGTAAGGCGTTGATTTGCTAATGCTCATCTCATTTTGTTTATGGATTTAATTGAATTGGTGAAGTAGTCTAGATGCCAAACATGGATTTGGTCCTTTTTTGCCGAGGGAAAACGTAAGTTTAGATTTTAATTCTTTTGAGGAGGCTCTGCGACAATTTTGTTGTTCCTGATACTACTGATGCCTGTCTTGAAGAATGTCAAAGGTTGGTTTCGTGAACCTATTTCTATCAGAAGTGTTTCTGAAAAATAAGGTAGTCTTGAAGAATGTCGAAGGTTGATATGTCTTGAACCTATGTGTATCGTAAATGTTTCTGAAAAGTAAGGTAGTCGAGACTTTGACCATGAGAAGTTATCAACAAATTAAATTACTGCTGTATAGTATAGTAATGCAAAGAAAATGTTTTTTTTTTTTTTCTTGTTCCAGTAAGTTAGAACGTGGACGAGTTGATAACCAGCGATGTTTTCAAGAAATATGGAAAGTGTTCCTGAGTCTCTTTAAACCGTCTCATGTTGATGCTTGCTAGCAAAACTTAGATATAATGTAATATAGCTTCGATTCTCTGCAACCGCATACAGTAAGGGATAGGACCTCATCCTTTTTCCTCTTTGCCTTCGTATCTTGGGATGGTCCAGACTTGCTTGATTCTCACCGGAATTGTCACTTCTGCTGTTATTTGCAAGTTCTGGTGTTTCCCTTTGAATTTGAACTCAAAATATAGTGTTCGAATCAAGGAAATTAGATATTGGCGAAGATAAAAAAAAAGTAGGGAAAAAAAGGAAGAATGACAAATAAAGGTTTTGTAAGAGCATTAACGTCAAATTAGGCTTTTTAATATTGATATTTTTAAATTTCAGCATTCCTTCTATTATTATGTTTTATAGTCTGTTTGGATTGCCTCATTAATCGATTTTTGAGGCAAAAAATCGATTAATATGAAAAGTTAGCCAAACAGTCGAAAATCATCAAAAATCGATTATGGGTCAGAACGCACGTTTTTTGTAAGTTCTCCATCAGCTTTTGCAGAACATTTATCAAAAAGCGTTGGCAAAAATTACAAAGAAAGGCCCAAGAAAAAATTACAAAGGAAGCACATAATTTAATAAAAATAAAATTAAACTCTCTTCTTTCTCCTTTTTTTTCCGTAATAAAATTTAAACTTTGTATATTCAAAAAATTAATATTTGGTATTTAAAAATTAAATTATATAGTAATTTATATAGTTAAAAATTAATTCTGATTAAATTATCCAAACATCTTCAATTTTGTTAAAATCAATTTTAAAAAAACAGTATCCAAACAGATTACGTTATAACATAATCAATTATGATTAAAATCTACCACTTAATCAATTATTTTTATAATTTATTATACCCAACTGAAATCCAAACGGACCCTTAGTGTTAAAGTTTTTAATTTAACATTAAAGTTGGCCAAAAAAAAAACAGCGAACAGCTGAGCTGGGAACCTGAGATCCCTTTCACAAATCACAGCAGAGCGTCTTGTACACGGGGTGGTTGTGTCAGAATATGACAGAATCGGTCTCGCTCTCTCTCTCTCTGTTTTTTTTTTTTATTTTTGTTGGGGGGGGTCTATTTTCTCTTACCTATGCTTTAAATTTCTGCCCTTTTGAATTTGATCTTTAGAAAAATGATTATCTAAATAAAAATTTTTAAAACCTGAATCTCAATTACTCGTATTTAATTCAAATTCAAATTTGATTCCCTCGGCAGTTGTGTGTCGTTCTCCCCCCCCCCCCCAAATTAGCATTTATGCATGGAATAGCAACGGCAATAATAAAACTCTAGATAACTAATTTATACATGCTAAAAAATTAGTCAAGTTAATTATTCGTAAAAAAAGTGTGTAGGTTAGTTAGTTAGCTGCTATATCTATGGTAGGAGGAATAATAAATATTTTATTGGATGCTATACAGTAGTCACCTCAGATCATTCAGGAGTCTAGTATATTAGTCACTTTTAGGAGTGTTCAATCTGAACCCGTTCCGATTGGCTTGATATCGTCCCGATCATATCGGACGGGTCTTGTCCCGCCCGAAAATAATCGGGATGGGACTTTATGGACGGGACAAGAAAGGGGTTCGGGACGGGACGGGACACGGGATTACCATCGGGACGTCTCGTCCCGTCCCCAATATTATATATATTATTTTTTATTTTAAATATATTAATTATATTAATATAATTTATACTTATATTAATTATATCAATTATAATTTTAATACTTATAGTTCTTATTTAAAACTAAAGTGTTTTTATATTGACAATTTTAATGGCATGGAGTAAACATGGAGATATCTTTTTTATAATATATTAATTATATTAATATAATTTATTCTTATATCTATCTATTTAATAAATTTTATTTATAACATATTTCTTGCTTATTTTTAGAAGAGTAATTAGCTTAGTACATCTTTACTAAAGTAGAAGAATAATTATTTGATGTTATGTTTTACTTACCTGTTGTTGCTAATCTTATAGCATAAAGATCACTTGTATTTTTTATTATAATATGTAGTTGTGATTAATATAATTCAATAATTAATTTTAAATTATTATTATTTATGTACTTGTGTTATTTTAATTTTAAACTTAATAAATTATATAATTTAAAATTTTAATGAATATTATTATTCAAATCTTTTTTCAATATTATTTCATTTATCGGGATGGCGGGACGTCCCGATCTTGTCCCGGTCCCGTCCCGACTCTTAACGGGACGGGACGACTTTCGGGACGGGACGGGACACGGGACCAAAATTCAGTCCCGATTTTTTTTTCAGGACGGGACACGGGACGGGGGTGTCCCGATCCCATCCGTCCCGTGGACACCCCTACTCACTTTACATAAAAAGAAGAAGAAGTATTAATTATTTTTTCCAAGATCACTCCATTTAAAATTTAATAGAATTTTTGTTTTTTAAGACTAATGCTTTTAAATAGAATCAAATTTAGAAAGACATTTCATTTCATTCTTAGATATTTTAACGATTTAATTAAATTTCTTTAATTTTGACAAAATAGTTAGTAGTGTTCTATGGACTTTTTTTTTTTTTTTTTTGGGCGTGCTTATGAGTTATGATATAACCCTGACTTAAAAACTTGGGTAATCTCTCTCTCTGGCTGCTTGCTGACATGAGCTTTTGATTTGTTTGGCAAATCCTAGATTATGATTTTCTAATTTACTATGGACAGTCTGGATGACCACGTGGGTGCCGAGACTTATGGATTTTTAAATGAGGAATTCAAGCACATCCAAGATACCTACGTTTAAATAAATAATTGAATATGTGACTGTAACATAAAATTATAAGAAATTCCATCTTGTTAATGATTGTCTCTGAGAAACCTGAATTTGTTATCGAATGTGTGAAGGAGAAGGGTTGCCACAACAAATGAGGGCGTGACACATGTCTACGAGACTAGAACATTTCACAATAAATAACATAATAGCTGAATGCAAAGCCGCAATGAAAATGATAACGCTAATCTTGTTATAATAATAATAATAAAATATAATTATTGATCCTCTAATTTTATTAAATTTTGCTTTTAATCTTTATAATTTACTTTCAGTGTTTCCAGTCTCGTAGCCTTTGTGATTTAACATAGTTAAAAACTTGCCCTAATTTACTGGAATTATAGATACTAAAAAAAATAAAAAGACTATAAAAACGAAAGGTAAAAATTGATAAAATTATAAAATAATAATTATTTTTTTTTTTTTTTTACAAAGAGAAGTGTCAGTGTTTGGGATTTCTTGAATTCTCTTGCTCACGTTTGTCCAAGAGGCTTTGGATGCTCCATGACCGCAACAGTGTTGGCTGCCCTTTCCAAAGTGAATCTGCATCGGAGCTGGCATAAAATCCTTGCTCCGCTCCAGCTCGTATCACTTACGGACAAAATTTGGACTGTCCAAATTAATTTGAGTGATTTAAATTTAATATTTTTATGTTTATTTTTATTTTATATTTATTAGAATGAAATATTCACACCAATTATAAAAAAATTAATAAATATGATCATTAATCTGGACAGCGTGTAATTGTAATTTGTGAAAAAAATTTAATATGAAATCTGTCTATATTATCTATAACACATTTGGATTAGCAATTTATAAAAATTATAAAAAAATTTAATATTAAATCAGATTGTTCAAACTAAATTTGTATTTTCTAGATTGACATTGAGCAAATTAATTGAATTTTTTTATAATTTTTTATTTTGGTAATACAAATTTACCCTGTTCAAATTGGTGAACAAATTTATTAAAATTTTAAATTAAGGTGTAAAAATATCTATCAAACGGTCGGCTAAGAGCATCCAATGGCCTAAAGTAAGGGAAAAAAAGTAAAAATACCCATAACATTACTAGAGTTGGTGCAAAAGTGATCAAACTATTAACTTTGCTCTAACACTATTAGTTTTCAATGTTAAATGTTGATTGCGCTTGCCACGTGTCAATATTTGTTGACATAAACTAAAAAAAATAAAAATACCCATAAAGATGTTAGCCAACGCATTCAATAGCCTTAAGTGAGAAAAAAGAGCAAAAATATCCATAATATTATTGAAATTGATGCAAAATTGGCCAATCTATTAAATACCTTAAATGTTACCGTTTAGCTAACACTTAAGCAAAAATTAACCATTTTTTGCTTATGTGAACAAAAGATATTTTCAAGTGAATTTTCACCAAGGTTGATCGATGACATATTCTACCAAATCTCACTTTTTCATTGACGTATCCCACCCCCTACTTCCCTCTCTACTCATTTTCCTTGCCTACAAAATTTGAGATTCAACACAGTAGATAAGTTATACTCAAGACTAAGCACACCTCATATACCACTTACCTTAAGAATATTGTTACAATCTTAAGCAATTTTATTTATAATAGGTTCAAAATTATCAAATGGTTTTTACCATTACTGCAAAGAAGTGACTGATTTAATTTAATGTTCAGTCAAAATGATATTTTTTCACATAATATTCATGTGATGATGATCAATCTTCATAAATTTTTACCTAAAAATATTTTTTATCCACATTAACAAAAAATAGTCAACTTTTGTTGAGGTATTAATTAAACGGTTAATATTTAAGAAATTTGATTGATTAGTCACTTTTGCAACAACTTTGGCAGCATTATGGGTATTTTTACTTTTTTTTTCTCATTCTAAGCTACTAGATGCTCTTACCCAATGACTTTATGAGTATTTTTTTTTTAGTCCACATCAGTAAATATTGACACATGATAAGCACAATCAGCATTTAATGTCAAAAACTAATGATGTTACGGCAAAGTTGATGATTTGATCACTTTGACACTAACCTTGATAACACTATGAATATTTTTGCCCTTTTTTTTATTGTAAGTTATTGGATACTTTTGGTCAACCACTTAGTGAGTATTTTTACGTCTTAACCTAAATTTTTTTTATAACTTTTATAAACATTTTATTTTAATAAACAAAAAATAAAAATTAAAACATTAAAACATTAAATCTACTTTGGACAGCCTAGATCACCTCCCTGGGTTGAGAGGAGGTGCAGCGGAGGAAGGATTGGGAAGAGCAAAGCCAACTCCCTCTACATCATCGTCCATTATCATCATTGATTATCTATGGGAAAATTATAAATAACTTTCATATAAAAAACTTATTTATAAAATAGTCCCTTTAATTTAAAATATAAACACCTTTCAATAATTATTGTATTAATATAATTCTGATTCTCATGAAAATATTTATTATTTTTCTTTTCTATCTTTAGTTTTAATTTAAAACGAATAAGAGAAAAGTCATAAATTCACAAACATAAGAATATATATTAATAAATACAACGAATAAAATAGATTTCCTTTTTTTTTAACAAAGACTAAGACACTGGTATTTTGGACTAACATTAGTTAGGAGAAAGTGCTCATATTTGGATTGGAAGGAGAAAATTTAAGAAATTTGTAAAAATATACTTATCATGAGACTTGATTGTGATTAATTTACCATGTAAAATGATACAAATATTTTTGAACTTACACCCCCATTTGACTGTATTAACTGAACCACCTATAGCTGCTGATCAATCACTATTCACCGTTGACCAATCACAAAAATATTTGAAAAAACATGTTTATTGAATTATTTATATTTTAATATTTACAAGCTAACTTTGCAGATTTACAAGTTAAATTTCATAGGGTTACAAGTTAAAAATCTTAATTTACAAGTCAAACTTGTAAATTTACAGACTTTAATATGTAAATATTAAAGTATTAACATTACAAGAGATTGACTTGTAAATCTTAAATAATTACTTTTTTTGTCCAAATCACAAGATAATTTTAAAAAGTGTTTGACATTTTAAAATATAAGACATTTTAAAAAAAATAAAGTTTCATTAAATAAATTCATTTCAATATTTCTCTTTCTGTCTCTATTTAATTTTCGTCCTTCTCTTTTTTATATATTAAATGAAGGGTATTTTTTTAGGTTCATACTTTCTTTATCTCAAATTATAAAATATTTTTGAAGGAGATTTATTATCTCAAAATATAAGATAATTTGAAAAGATTAAAATTTTATTAAACAAGCTTATTTCGATATTATCATTTATCTTTCTTTATTTAATTTCTATCCCTATCTCTTTTCAATATATTAAATGAAGGTATTTTTAAAAATTTATATTTTATTTTAAAAAATAAGGTTGTTAGGTGTATTTAATGAGGTTTATTAGCATATACAATGTTATCTAAAAGCATCTTATAATTTGAAATAGATAGAGTATTTTTGTTTTGAAAAAATAATATTTTAAGTATATTTAATGAACTTATTGATATGTGAGGTTTTATCCAAAACTATCTTCTAATTAATAGATGGAGTACTTGTTCATATGTGATGTTTGACTTATAAGCATTAAATAAATTTTTAATATGAGACCTATATATGATTTTTTCATTATTCAATTGTAATTAAACATGTTTTTTATACATTTCAAGGGAGTCTAATAAATGAGCTTTATCATTCATGATTTTCTATTTAATATCATAGGAATAGAGCCTGAGGTTGGCGGAGTCATCCTATTCACCCATTTCGTTCTGGCTTAATGTCTTTAAAATTGAATTCAGGTCTTCTCTCAAATAAAGAAAAATCCATCAACGAGAAGATGAGAATAAATCTTACTTATGAAAGTTTTTTTTTTTTTTTTGAAAAAAAGAAAGTGTTGAATTCATGCACCTTTGTTTTATTGTGGACACTGAATTTTGTAATATTTTCTTTTGGGCCTTTCAGCGCATCTTTTTCGGGTTTTCCTCGTGTCATAAAATAAGTTTTCAAACCCCATTGCGTATTGAAGGGGCAGTTCTAACTGAAAAGGTACCTGAGTTTTAAAATAATCCCATTGACTTATTTTTCATACTTTAATTTTAATCCGTATATTATCATTTCTAGACTTGCTTACATGGTATGTTCCAAGAATCATTCCTCAGGCTCGCTCACCTCCCATTGAAGCATATCCCCTAACGATTCCTTTTCAAAATTCAGATTCCAAAATTCACAGCCACCCTCTTGCTTACTTGTCCCAAACAAGTATTGCGTCTAAAATTTCAACTTCACACAACAAACAAACAATCGTGAACCAAAGAATATCACTTTGAGATGCTTTAATCGCAATCCACTGTTGCCCAAACAACTCAAAAGATGCAAAATGAATGCAAGTGTATGGCAAGCATACATCTCATTTTCTACCTCCAATCACCTTTTCTTCTATCTGTTGCTAATTCTAACTGCATTATATACATTCAAATATGATGAAACCTAACAATATCATTCTCACACTACAACATCAAAACTAGCATATTTGGTCTCAGTAGAGAGTCCATCAAGGTAAAATGTAGGGGTTCCGAGATCAAATTCTGGTATAAGAAGAAGAAGAAAGGGGGCAAATTATTTTGGGTTCAACAATTTTCTCTTATGGTGAAGAGCCCCACAAAACCTCAGCAACAATGGTGGCAGATTCAGCATCAGAAATGGAAGCTTCTCTTACTCTCGTCAGAATCTCTTGCTTGAAAGCTCTTCTTTCTCTTTGCCTCAATCCCTCACCTACTTCTAAATGAACTGCAAATCTTGCCGCACAGCTTGCAAATGGATGGTTCTGGAGGAACCTTCTTTGCCTACTTTCCCTCTTCCCTTTTTCTACCACTCCTCCAACACTAACCCCTCTCTCATCTTCTTCTTCTTTATCGCTTTTCTGATCGATCTCGATCAAATCACCACCCAGTTCGGATCTCTGCAACTCCACGAGCTTTTCTATCAAGCCTTCCTTCAACATAGCTTCAACCGCTTCCTTCCTTCCGAAATACCCAATTTCTAGCACGCAATCCATGGCCACAGCTTTCATATGTAAATCCTGCGAGTTTAAGAAGCTTATGATCTTCGGTATTTCGCCGTTCGATTCGATTTCGTCCACAATGGGAGATTTTATGGATCTGATTAACGAGCAGAGGACTTGAATCGAATTCGGGGAAGCCATTGAAGTTAGGGCACTAACGGTTGGACCCATTAAGACTTGGCCTACGAAGACGTCCTTGTTGAACCGAATCAAACCCGCGATAGCTAAAGCCGAGTGTTCTCGGATTCTCTTCGAGCATTTAGGATCGCACAAAATCGATTCCAGCGAAGAAAACACCTTCAATCGGAGAACCAGATCCTGAAATTCGCGGTTGAACCCTAGGGAAACCCGCTCTTCAAATTGAATCAAAAGCTTCGCCAATTCCTCCTCCTCGAGCGTAGGCTCCCGGAGAGCTCGGCTCAAGTCGCCAACGCTTTCGCGGTCTATCCACTTCTGAATCTCAGACTCAATTGACCCGGCGATTCGGGATATGGAGTGGACCGAGGTCCGGCGCGTGAGAAAAGACCGGAGGCCGATGCCTCCTTTAGCATTTTTAAGAGACTCAACTAAATCCTTAAGGTCGGTGAGGTACTCAGACAGAGACGAGAGATTTGGGTCGCCAGAGAGGATAGCATCGGACTCAGTGTGTAGCTCCAAGAGAGCTTTAATGGCGGAGGAATTGGAGTCGTCGGAGTGTCGACTGGGGTTGGCTTGTAAGTTGTGGGAAGCTTCTTTGAGAGCTTGGAGGACTTGGAGAAGCTGTGGGCTGCGATGGTTTGGGGGGTCTTCCATGGATATAGCAGAGAAGAGAGAAAGAGATTGAAGAAGAAGAAGGAATTTTTTTTTTTTTTTTAGCAAAAGAAGAATAAGGAACTTGAATAAGTATTTTGGTACGGGTTTGTGTATAAGAAGAAAAGCTCTGTTTTTTGGTGAAGGAGATCCAACGACCAGTCTTTTGCATGAGGGCGCCACTCGGAATCAGCTTGCGTAACCACCAAGCACCTACGTGTAGATTCTGGGATATTATTTATAATAAAAAAATATACTACGGTTTATCAAAGAACAACAAACGACATTTCATATTTAAACGCAGACAATTATGAATAAATAAATAATTTGAAACCAAAAATATTTACTGATAAAGCTTTTTATCTTTTTTTATCTAAAAAAAGAGAAGAAAATAACTTGATGCCGTTGGAAATTGTACTATGCTACTTCCAAATTATTATATTAATTTTTTTAAAAGTTCTGTTTGATTTAAAATATTAAATACTAAATATTTTTTATAATTATTTTTTAACTATGCCTTATTTTATTTTAAAAAATTATATATCTTTTTAATTATATTTTTATTTATATTCTTATTTAATAAGAATATAACTAAAAAGATGTATAATTTTTTAAAAAATTAAAAGTTTTACTTAACTTTTTAAAACTATGGAGTGATTAATAAAGTTTTGTATTGTAATCTAAAGGGATTATCTATCTAGGTTCCAGGACTATCAGTGTTATGTATGGTTAATGAATAATTTCACTTGCTACAAAAATTTTATATATTAATATTAATTATTCTAAAAAAAATATTACTGGCAAAACTCTCACATCATGAGTGTGGCCCCAGTCTAGTTAATTATTTTATTCACTTATTTTTTGGCATATTTGTTCTATGATCTTTCAAACGAATTTGAATATTTGGAGGCTGGTAGGGGGTTTCTCAAGTTTGAATAAATTATGTTCATGTATAAACAAAATAAATTTATTTGGCGTCTTGCAATTCATATAGCCGACCCCATCTAATGAGATAAAAAAACTTGTTGTTGTTGTTGTTGTTATATAAACAACATAAATTAGGTTCCTGTCTATTTATTTTAAAAGTTATCGTATTTTTTTTAAGGTTATCAATTTTTTTTATCAATACTAATACGATAAATCTATAATGTTCACGAATAGAAAATATTTTTTCATAATTTTAATGATTGGGCTCTGTAAAAGATATTTTTATATACATTGTAATTTTATAAAAAAGTAAAAATTGGCCCAAATTAATTATAAAATCGTGAAGATACAAAGATTATAATTTATAAAAAAAATCATTCTTTTATTTCTGATTCGGAAATCCAATCTTTTATTTAATTATATTAAAAGAGTTCCGACCTTATTTAATACTTGCCTTATTCATTAACCTATTATCTTGACCTCTCAAGTATTTATTTATTATTTATCAATAAAATTAAGTTTTTTTTATGAGGCAGTGAATTTATAATTTTAATTTTATTTCTCAAAATAAATATATATTGCGCAGGAATTAGAGTTCATGCAATGTACTGTAATACTCTACTTTTTTAATTAAAAAATATAAGATATTTTTAACTGAATCTCATTCTCAATAAAGTAATTACTTGTGTTTAAAATAACTTTATCTTTTTATATTTATCCCTATTTAATAGTGTATTTTACTTTAAAAATATAAATTGATCTATTTAATAGAGACACTTTTGAAAAAAAAAAGGTAATGATTACACTTTAAAAAATTAAAAATACATTATATTTTTTAATATCCAATTTTTCAAAAAAATATTTTATATTTTTTAGGAGAAGAAGCATATTAGGAGAACTAATTAGAGATTAATCAAAAAAAAAACATTTGTATTCTTCCTTTAAATGATACAAAGGAGGCCTTTAAAATCAGGTTATAGAAATTTCTCTCAAGCCATCCCTGCAATCAATTGAAAAAATTGCCTGCAAAAAATATCCATGAAATGTTCTTTTTTTTTTCCTTGCCAGAAATTCATGAAATGTTCCTGGGACTGATCATATTGTTAAATAAAAAAAACATGGTATATAATTTTGCTAAACTTCAATTAGCCTAGTCTATTGGACGTAATACTTATCTTCAATTTAAAATATAAACATTTTTTAGCTAACATTGATTCAAAATATAAACAATTTAGTATATGTAAAAAAAGTTTTCTCATTTCACCCTTTTATATTTATTAATATATATCTCTGTATAAATTTATATCTCACTCATCATGAAATATATTATAATTGAAATTAAGGATGAAAAAGTAATATATATTTTTATGACAATAAAAACTTTATTAATATGCAGATTAAAAAAACCAATTATATTTTAAATTGAAAAGAGTAATTATTATGGTTTCTAAATTTTGTCTCCTATAACGATCTCTATCAACGCAAGTGAGGTGCCTGTCCATTCACATCTCAGTCAAGTTGATTGTGAACCAAAAAACAAGCGAACAAACAAAAAAGTGAAAAAACACACAATGGTGCTCACCAGAGATAATATAGAAGAGATTATCAGCATAGATATTTGTAGAAGAGATTATCATTATTTAGTTAAGTATAAGATCTTGAATTTAAATTTATGGATGTAAAAAATATTTTTTAAAAAAGATACTTCCAATCAAAGTAGACAATACTCAATATCTCCCACCACATTGTTTTATTTTGGGAAAAACACACACATAATGGTTCCCGTCTGGCAGAGTAAAGCGTGATCATTGCGCGCTTTTACAGACACTTAAAATCAGTGATTAAAAATCAGACTCGACCAGAGGGTTGGACTATTGGTTAGTCCAAACGATTGGACTATCAGTCGATTTGGATGATTGGATTGTCGGTTAGTCTGGATTTCGGTTCGGTCAATATGTAAAAATTATTTTGGGAATGAGCCAAGTTAAGCTATTTTAGACTGGTGGTCGAATGAAAATTGAAAATCAAATCTGACTTTAAGAACTGGACTATTTGAAGAAAAAAAAGTTTTTTTTTTTAGTAAATTTTTTTAAAAAAATGACCAATTTTTTAATCCTTTAATATTATATTGTATCATATGGCTTGTTAAATCATAATAAACTTAAAACATTTAATTTTTTTAAAGTTAAGTAGTAATTTTGTATTTATTTTTTATAGTTAGATTATTTTATATATATATATATATTTAATTTAATTATTACGTTACCTGTTTAATCATTGATCCAACCTAATTGAATCTTATAAACTATAAATCGCTAGCCTTTTCAATTCAGGAGCTGGTTCAGTTTTGAAAACATTGCTTAGAACTATGATATATTATTAATGAATAATAATGATAATGAGAATAAAAACTAAATGAATAACGAACCAGAAACTTTCTTTATATATTTTATGAAAAGGAGACACAAGCTTGATGGAATTCTTCACTTATGTTATTTTATATGGTTGATACTTCTCTCTCACTCTCTCTCCCCCTCTTTTGAATTGGTTGATACTTCATTCTGCATCCAAAGCGCAATAGTCCAAGAAAACAAACTTGTGTTTTGACTGGATATATTTTAGATTTGGATTTCAAACAAGTTCATTATTTCAATAGATAAAAATTCTTGAATGTAGATTTAATCCAAATCAAAATTTAATGTTATTATTGTAATTTTTATATTAGGACTGTTCAAGTGTGAGTGAACTTAAGACAATGTAAAAAGTCTCACATTGAATAAAGTTGGACTTAATGACTAATACTCTCTCCATTCCAAATTATGAAATACTTTTAGATAAAATCTCACATATCAATAAATCTCATTAAATGCACTTAACAACCTTATCTTTTCAAAACAAAAATATAAACTTTTAAAAATATCTATCATTTAATATATTGAAAAGAGAAGGGACAAAAATTAATTATAGAGAGAAAGGGTAAATTTGAAGTTAGTGCATTTAATGAAATTTTAATATATCCAAAATGTCTTATATTTTGAGATGAAAAAAATGAATGCCCCATAAACCTAAGCCTTAAGATTTTGAGTTAAGATTGGTGTTCCTTCCCATCTCTTGCCCGTCAAGGCTCAAGTTTATGAGTCATTTTTCTTTATTATATATTAGTTATTAAATTCAATTTTATTCAATGTGAGACTTTTCATATCATCTTAAATTCACTTACACTTAAACAACCGAACATTTTAAAATTTTCAAACCCTCATTCTAATTTAGCTAGTTACTTCAAATACACGCTCTGACTTCTAATTTAAAATGTGAACCCTAATGATGGATTTTAGGTCATGTTTAAATTGATGGATTTAAATTTTACATTTAAAATAATATATTTCAAACTTTTGTGTTTTAAATTCATGTATTTAAAATTATTTATTTAAATAGTATAAAAATTCTTAAATGTAAAAGAGAAACAAGTTACAGTTTAAAACAAAAATAAAAAATTGAAAGTAATGAATTTAAATATTTTTTATTTTTCAATTAGTGAAATGCATTAACAAGAGATAAGAGGATGGTAGAGTCACTTATAATGAAAACACAAAGACGACAAGAATGTTAAAACTTGGGGTGTGTGGAATTTTTTTAAACAAAGTTTACAAATGAAACTTGAAATTATAAAAAATTGTTATAAGAAATGAATTTGAATATGTATTAAATCTAAATTCATAGATTTTCATATATTCAAATAAAAAATTTAGTCTAAATTCAAATCCTTATTGATCCAAAAGCAACGTTTAAAATATTAGAATTTGAAATTTTTTCTATACTGCTAGACAAAAAATTTTAAATACACATATTTTAAATTTTAAAACTAAATTTAAATTAATCTATCTATCAATACACATTCTTAATTGCCAAAGTTGTATATTCTCATCTGGAGTAGAATTGGGTGCGTCCAAATATAAATATTACCATGTGATTGGAGACTCTCGTAAAGGCTTCATAAAAAAAAAAATTCAACCCAATATACTAGATTATACTAACATAATATATACAAAAAAAAAGAACATGCTAATATATTAGAGTTAGTGGAACTCTGGAGAATTTTAGAATTTTATGAGAGAAAAGCTTTTGATATATCATAAAAATTTGCGACTCAAGGATAGTTAACTAGTTATTAATATGTTAGGGAGAATGTAATCGACTAGTCTTTTGATGAAGGGCCTTAATATTGAATATATACAATGCATGATAGTCAAGCATTGGAATATAATTTTTGAATTTTTTTATCATGAATATGGGAAAGCTAATAAATGTTCCAATTAATTTGGTTAATATCTTGATATTAATATTTTGTATTCCATTACCTTCTCTAGGTTGTTTTTTTTTTTTTGACCAAACCTTCTCTAGGTTGTTGGGAGAGGCTAATGGATTTAGCCATGAGTCTAGTACTCTCATTTTTCATGGATTTTCCATAACCAATAGCGAATCTAGGACCCAAACTTGGTGGGGGCGAGTCTTTTTCCTACTCTAAGAATCGTTATACATATATAATCATGTGAAGTTATATATACATAAATATTAAAATCATGTAAAAATTAATTTATTTGTATAACTATTTAAATTATTTGCAACAATATATTTATAAAATTGAATAAATTGTATACTTTTTTTATTTTTGATGAAAAATTTATAAATTAATATCATAAAGAAATTGATTTATAAGCCTTAAATGATTATTATTACTTATTTAACGTTGAGCAAATCTTATGCATTTGCTTGAAGTTTAAAATAAATGTGTATCTTATATTTTATATTGATATTGATATTAATTTTTTATCAAGTTATTTTATTTTGTATTCAAATTCAAGATATATAAAAATTTATAAACCATTGATCATAAATAATGTTTAATTGATTGGAAGTATATAATATAACAATGTCAGGCAATTTTTTTTTCTTGAATGTCACGCATATAAAACCATATCCTAAAAAACACAGCTTTAAATAAAAAAACCATATATTGACACACACAAGAACAATATAGGCTTCTTTTTCTCAAAAAATAAAACAGCAATCAATTTTATTTTTGGTGATACTGCTGTTTGATTGAAATTATTGTTCTAACCCAACCTCAACACCTCACACACTTTGCTACTCTCTCTCTCTCTCTCTCTCTCTTCCTTGGATTTCTACTTGCATGTCATGGTATAAATTAAATAAAAATATTTACATAGCTTTCACATTTGGGTGGGCATCTACCCACTCTCGGAGCAATGTAGCTCCACCGCTGTCCATAAACTTTTGTTTAAAAAAACTTTAAATTGCACTTTTAATTATATTAGATTTTAACTCGCAGTGTGTTCTCTCAAAATTCGTTTGCAAAATGCAAATCTTCCATGAAAGTTATTACCCTTGTCCGCTTGTGTATCTTAGTGGAAAATGTTCTGCCAGAGTGTAAGATTAAACAAAAGTGTTAATAAACTTTTTATTAGTTTTTGGGTCTCCTGAATTTGATAATTTAAGTGTTAATGAACTTGTTAAATATTTTGATGAAGAGGTTTGTTTATCTAGTTGAAATCTTGTTGCTTTTATTTTAATTTTTTTTATCAATTTTGTATTATATTAAGATAAATCAATTTCTAATTACCCCCATTTCATTTCAATGCCATGGTTGACTCTATTGATCTACTCGAACTCTCTAAGGGAGTGTTTGGATTTTAGTTTGTTATAATTAAGTATAAAAAATTAATTAATATAATTGATTTTAAATATAGTTAATTATGTTATGTGATATATATATATATATATATATAATTGGTTTATAAAATTGATTAATAAGATTGATTTTAATCAAAAGCAAAATTAAAAAGTAGAATAATGTAAAACCATGATTATGTAAAACACAATCAAATATTCATGTTATATGTTAAAATTAATTATGAATTTAAAATCATGCTTTTTAAAAATATTCAAATACCCTTAAACATGCTAAAATCAATTATAAATCTAAAATTATGGTTTTTTTTTAAATATTCAAATACCTCCATATATGTTGAAATTAATTTTGAATTCAAAACTACAGTTATTTTATAAGTTATTGTTATCTACTTTTTAATTTATATTTTTAATTATATTTTTTAAGGAATTATTCAAAAATTATATAAATTATTTTACAAATTATAATTTTAATTTTATAATTGATTTTGACATATATAAAAGTGTTTGGATATTTTTTAAAAAATAAAATTTTAATTTTAAAATTAATTTTTAACATATATAATGAGTGTTTGAATATTTTTAATAAAATATAATTTTAAATTTATAATTAATTTTAGAAAACCGTGATTTTAACTTTTAAAATTGACTATAGAAGCTGTCCAAACAATCGTGGCCATCCACATTTGATTTTATCAAATAAAAAAAGGACTTGTTATAAATAACACTGACTAGGTTCATTGAATTAACTACTCTCGGCCGGTTGTCCTTGTCACCTTTTTTGTCTTAAACTCTCGGTTAGCCAAAAAACAGAAAGAGTTGAACCAAATTTTGTCCAACCAAATTTATTAAATATCTTGGGATTTAATATATTTTATGACAAATATTTCGAGGTGTATAACAACAACAACATGCATGCATCTCTTTTTTTTTTTAATTCAATATATATATATATATATATATTTTGAAGACAGTGACAGGATATGTTGCTGATAGGTATATATCAATAGGATGAATTTATCACAAACTTATCAATTCAAGGTTCAACTGCTACTATATCAAATTTATCACAAACTCGTGATAGGTATACATCAATAATAGAATATCAACATCAATTGAGAACTACATAAAATATTTTTACAGGGATTATAGGGATTGACACACTTTTTCTTAGTTGTCAAACTTGACTTATATCAAATTTACAAAAATATTTGTAAACTAATAAGTTATTAACAATACAATCCTTGTTTTCATCCAAAGCAAAAAAAATACAGTCCTTATAGTGAATGCGAAATAATTTGAATCCAGATTGTCATGAAATATGAATAGTCGTGTTCTTTCCCACAAAAATCAATCTCGGGTGATTTCTTGTTTTCATTCTTATACAGACTAAAATATATAAAGCCCCTCTAAATTTTAATGCATTTGCACAAAATTCCCTTTGAAAATTTAAAATTAACTTCTCAATCTTTTTTTTTAATCATAGACTTCTTATTATTATTTTTTAGTTATCCTACTAATAGAAGTTCACATGTCATGTTAAAAAAAAAGAAGACTTGGAACAACTTATGTGGCATCTAATGAAGTTAATAATAGTATAAAAATATAGATAAAAAATAATTCTAGGAGAGTCTGTGTTAAAAAAAAACATTAGGGATGTTAATTTAAACTTTAAAATGATGAGATTCTGACTTCAACAAAATTAAGGAGAGTTTTGAATTTTAGTCTTCTACAAGCAACAAAGCAAGGCCAATTAAATGCCTCTTTTTTTTAAATTTCCTTATTTTTAATTTTTTTGGTCAATGCTCCTTCTTATAATCTTTCACCGTGTCTGCATCAAATATACATCAGGAGGACAAAATCAAGGGGAATTTGGGGATGAAACAAATAGATGAACATTTGGGAAGGAATGACCAATATTTGAAGACTATTGTTCCAAAATCTGCAATCCAATTTTAAGATATTTTCAAAAATCTGTATTGATAATTTCTGAAACTTAATTTTACTTTTTTCCAAGTTTTTTTAAAAAATTATATACAAGTCTCACATAAAAAATTAATTACTATAAAATTTATTAACAATTAATATGAGGCTATTTAATAGATTGCAAATGATCTTATATCAGTTGTTAATAAATTCTAGTAGTCAATCTTTTTTATCAGAATTTAAGGTAATTCTCTCAATTTTTTCTTAGCCATTGATCCTTGTCCCAAATTTCCGCATAGGCCATAGCCAATCATGCTAGGTGGGACGTCAAGCAAAGTAACTGACCCAACGATGAAATCGTCCAAACCACCACCATAACGCCACGTGTACATACCATACCCGGGTGCACGATATCACACTTGACGCAGTTTTTACTTTTTACGCCAGCGAGCGGCTCGTCCTGCTCCCAGCACCAGCCTTCCCAACACCTTCTCCTTCGTCTCCTTCTCTTCATCATCTCTCTCTTCCTTTCTCTCCTCGGCAAATGCTTCAAGGCGAGCTCCTCCTTCCTTCTCTCTCTCGATCGCTCGCTTTTTATAGATTTATTTTTTAAGAAAGATTGTGATTATTAAACCGAAACAATTTTTGATTCTTCGTTACTGATTCATTTTCTCTTTTTATAAATGTATGATTGTTTAATCTTTATTTGCAGTTGTATCTAGAACTGAAATGTAGATTTTAAGCTCGGGGAGCTAAGTTTCGACTGTGATGTTAAGTAATGTGAATGCCGATACTGTTCATCGTTCAGATTCAGATCACGAACTGTTGAAAGTCTTGCTTCTGGATAATTGAGCGCTAACAATTTTTTTAGTGGTTGCAAGTGTCTTCTGGCGGTGGTTTTTGAAAAAGCAGTGCTGTAAAGGAGGAAATTATATGCTGAAAGAGGATCCGTCTCTCTCACTCTTTTTAACCTTCAACTAGAACAGTTTTGTTGCTGACTCGCTCCTTTATCAAATAACTGGTTTTAGAATTTAATTGGTATCCTTTACCCGCTTTTATGTAAAACGCGTCTGCAGTGAGATGTAGTTTTGAATCTTTTGTCCTCGAAGAATATTGAGTAAACAATTGGAATGCAATTTGGTAGTTTCATTTTCTAAAATAAAGCTTGAACTGAAAGCCTCACAACTTCACATCTTATCCCTGCACAAAATGACATCATTTGATATTCTTTAGTGCAGGTAGTTAGGCTTCTCAGGCTGGTTGACAGACAATCATGTCTCTGGATCCGGATGTCAGGATGCAAACTTTGTTGCTTAATTTTGTTCTTGCTACCTTTCTCTTTTTGAGCGCCATCAAGGATGGAAATGCTGGAATCACTAGCAGTTTCATACGATCAGAGTGGCCATCTGTTGATATCCCTCCTGATAATGAAGTATTTGCAGTTCCGAAGGGTCATAATGCACCTCAACAAGTACGTCTTATAAAAGCAACAAAGCTGCATCTTTTATTAACGTGCTGATGTTATGTGATGAATTTAAAAATGAGGATTCCAATTTCCAATTCTCTGTATGATCAGCCAATTGATGAGGTTTCGGTCATTGGACTTTTTTTAAAGAATTACATACCATATTTACTAGCTCATCAAAGAACCTCTCAGACCTTGTGAATAGCAAGAGTCGGGTTCCCATTCCCAATAAAAAGATCCTTGTTACAAGAGAAATATGGTGGTTACAGAGAGTTACACGATAAACACAATAGTGCTTTGAACTTATGGTGGTGTTTTCTTATGTTCAAAAGTGACACAATATGAATGAATTTTAAACTTATGGTGGCTTCTCCGTGTTGAATATTCCCTCCTTAGGTGCATATTACTCAAGGTGACTATGATGGAAAAGCGGTAATTATCTCATGGGTCACAGCGGGTGAACCAGGGCCCAGCAAAGTACAATATGGCACATCAAGCAATAAATATCAATTTAGTGCAATAGGCACGGTGACAAACTATACCTTCTACCAATATAAGTCTGGCTACATTCATCATTGTCTAATTGAAGGCCTCGAGGTAATTGTTGCTATTAGCACACATGTTTTCATCTTTCCTAGACATATTTTTATAATTCCCTCATGCTTTTTTTTAGGAGTGTGTTTACTTTGTTAATATCACGGCTTGCTCTTTTCAGTATAACACTAAATACTACTACAAAATAGGAAGTGGTGATTCTTCTCGGGAATTTTGGTTTGAAACACCTCCCACAGTTGACCGAGATTCCCCTTACAAATTTGGGATCATAGGTATGTTATCCATTTTTGAAGCGTGGTCCACTGTTATAAGGGGAAATGTTCTATTGCATCCTCAATTAATACACTTATCCAGACTTTTGATATTACTTTTGGTTATGTTTCTTTGCCATCCATACATCATTGCAGAATCATTCAACTGGTAATTCATAAAGTAGGGTTCCATTTTTCTTTTAGTTTTTGCTTATTTGAATTTTTTATTTTCATAAATGATTATTTTATTTATGTTGTAGGTGATTTGGGCCAAACATACAACTCTCTTTCCACTCTTGACCACTACATGAAGAGTGGAGCACAGACTGTCCTATTTGTTGGAGACCTTTCTTATGCTGATAGGTATCAGTATAATGATGTAGGTTTACGATGGGATACATGGGGTCAGTTTATTGAAAGGAGTGCAGCATATCAGCCATGGATTTGGACTGCTGGAAATCATGAAATTGAGTACATGCCCTATATGGTAGAATATGAATCCAAGACTGGACATGCATTCAATATTCCTGTCTGCAATCTGATTAAATCACTTACAAATTAGAGTTTAGTATTTTCTGGACCAATAAACTAATAAATAATTATTTCAGTTTTCCTTTTCTTAATTAGGAATTGTGTGGTTTTTTTTTTGGAAAGGGGGAGGATGGGGCGTGGGGAGGGATGTTCCAGATAACTGCAAGTCTTTACGGCATTTATTCCTTCTCTTGTATAATTGTTAATCATTGGCCGCAAGGAAAAAATTAAGTCTTGGAATGAACTTTTGTTACTCTGCAAAGCTCATCTGTAAGCTTAACTTGGCTGGCTGTTAATTCTATCAAACTATTGTTCTTTATTATGTCCAACTTTTAATTGTTACCACATGCTTGGGATGTAAAATACTTTAAAATGTGTTGAAAAATCGACTTGATCATTATGAAGTTGCTTTATGTAAGGTTATTTTTTTCCCACTGCCTATATTGAGCTTGATCTACCCAAAGTTGTAGCATGAGAGATAAATTGGCTCTATGTTGCTTTTAACTGAACCTTCATGGCAGGGGGAGGTTGTTCCTTTCAAATCCTATCTTCAAAGATATACAACTCCTTATTTGGCTACCAATAGCAGCAGCCCTCTCTGGTATGCTATTAGGCGTGCGTCTGCTCATATCATTGTGCTGTCCAGCTATTCACCCTTTGGTAACCACTGGCTAATCTCATTTTACATTGTCAATATATTTGTACATGTTGATTGACAGTTAAATTCTCTTACTGTAATTGGCGTTGAGAATGTCATGTAAAATTCAAGTAGCTCTCATGCGTTGACTAGATTTTTCAATCTTGAAACCATAATACCCGTAATCTCTCTCTCCTTACACACAATTGTGCATTGTGTAACAATCAGGTAGAAAATGCTATTCTTCTTTCACTAGTGTGCCATTGATTGCAAACAGTGGAGTCTGGATATTTTATGGGATATAAGAACAAAAGATGTGATATCTTTGTCTGTAGAGAAATTCATGGATATTTACAGTAATCAGCTGCTCATGAAGAGATGGAATTATACTGTAACTTACCCAACGTGGCATCAAATAATTCTAATGAGATCAGAAGACGTTTCAAGTTTTAACAAATTTGGCATGGGTTTAACAGTCAAGAAAAGTTTACAGCCTGACAGAAAATTTGTACGATTTCTGCCCTACTACTGCAAAGGAGAAGACAAACAAAATGAGTAAACTGATAATTGTAAAGAAATTTATTCTTCATCAGGTCTCGAGTGAAGGTTTTAGTTATTGGTTCATATTCAAGAACAGTGGAGTCTCGATGTGGTGTTTTCAGAAGTTAGAATCTTACTATTACCAATGGCTAGTTCTGTTCTGTTCCAGATGGACACTATAATGGTTGCCAAGTTTTGCTGTAGTCATTTTGTGTATTCTTTGAAAAGTGGGATCAGCTTTCTTGATGGCTAATATGATAAAATGCTGATATTTCCTGGCAGTAAAGTACACACCCCAGTATATGTGGCTCCATGAAGAGTTGAAGAGGGTTGATAGGGATAAGACACCTTGGCTTATTGTTCTCATGCACGTTCCACTATACAACAGTAATGAAGCTCACTATATGGAGGGTGAAAGCATGCGAGCAGTATTTGAGAGCTGGTTCATTCACTACAAAGTTGATGTGGTCTTTGCTGGCCATGTCCATGCTTATGAAAGATCAGTATGGTTCTTAACCTTTTTCTTTTTTCTGTTCTTGCACTTGCAAACAGTTGCGTCTTACTTTAGAATTATTAGTTAGGGCACCTATCCTGTTTGATGCTTTGGTCACACAATGATGCGAGGTTGATAAGGAAAATTTCGATCTAGCCTCGGTTTGATTTCGTGGCTACTTGTTAATTGCACTACATATTTTATCACGTGTTGAATGCATCTGTCTTGTTTTCAGTACCGATTCTCCAATATCAACTACAACATAACAAGTGGCAACCGGTACCCCATACCAGACAAAGCAGCTCCTGTATACATAACTGTAGGAGATGGAGGAAATCAAGAAGGTCTTGCTGCAAGGTAATCCGCAAATTTTCTTGTGAAAATTGCTAGTAATTTTCACTTTGGAGTTGATGATCCTCTAATAGATGTCTCTAGATAGTCCTTCATAGGCGAAATCCTTGCTAGTTATAGTTCCGTCTGTGCTCAATTTGTTTTATTGGCTGCGCAGATTTTTAGAACCACAGCCGGAATATTCTGCCTTTCGGGAAGCCAGCTTTGGACACTCAACTCTGGAGATAATGAATAGGACTCATGCCATCTACCACTGGAATCGCAATGATGATGGCAAGAAAGTGCCAACTGACTCTTTCGTATTGCATAACCAATATTGGTAGGTTCCCTTAATCCCTTCACCTTTTCTTGCTTTATTGATTTCAGAGTAGCAAGCTAAAGTCCAGCATTGCTTGCTGTATCGCATTAATCGGCACGAGTTAGAATTTGACATATTACTCTGTTACTGGATGTCATTAATTAGCACATCAAGTAATTTGGTGGACAAGATTCTCTTAAACTGCAAACGTATTAGAATGTTCTATGTATCTCATGAAATGGCCTCATTGTGTAGGATTGGCATTTTTTTTCCGGTAGAACACCTTTTGTCAATACCTCAGAATCATTATGCTTGGAAAAATGAAATAATGGTTTTGATTTATTTCTTTTTAATCTTCGTTTATGTACATTCACCCGAAGGATAACTATGGCACGGTTGAATTTCTGGTAACGCAGGGGAAAGAATAGGAGGAGAAGGAAACTGAAGAAGTATTTAGTGAGCAGTTTTCTTGGAAGGATTGACACCGCTTTATAGGGTGATGCTGTGGAATGAACAAAAATGTTGTCTACTCGAAGATGCGTGGCTTTAAGTCGTTGAAAATGATCTGTTGTCTCAGCCTAAATGCTTGTCTGGATTCTGGGGACAAGCAACCTGTTCAATCTTTTACCCTTGGGATATTACTCCGCAGAAAATTAGGAGACGAGGAAGAGAGGAAAAGGAAAAACATGGTATCATAAAATCATAAAATAAATGTACACTTTGATGTATTTTATGATGGTAATAATTTGCTTATGAAGTTGTTTCTCATAACTTGGATATCATGTGGTATTTGTAAATGAACAAAAACAGCGATGTCTTGATTCAAAATTTCAATATTCAAATTTTTATATGCTTTTTCTTTATTATATATTTCTTTTGGATCATAATATAAGTTATTGTCAATTAATTTATATTTTTTAAAAAAAGTGGTTAAAATATTAATTTTTTAATTTTTTTTTATCTTTTCAACTGTATTCTTGAATGTAATAAGTATAACATTTAATTTATTTTAAATACCTTGATTAATTTTTTAGTAAAGTAAGGATATAATTGAAAAAAATATAAAGCACTTACTCAATGTTTTATATTTTAGGCTAAATAAATTTTTTAAAAAATGATTTATATTATGATTTGAAAATTTTTAAGTCTTGTTTTATTTGATGTTGAACTTTTCATACTTAAATTCACTCACACTTGCGTGACTTAATGATAAATATTATACAAAATTCTCTTTTCATCTGTCCCTCTTGTGGGTCGAGTTACTTTTTTTTCTTTTTTTGGGGAGTGAAATGGGATTTCATTAGCTTAAAAAACTGTACAAAATTAAAGAACGAGGAGAAAACAAAATTACATCAAAGATTTTTGGGTCAAGTTACTTTTCATTTACCTATGGACCGTAGTTTCTTAATTTCTTTTCGTCTGAACAAGTTTAAAATATATCTATTTTTTAATAATTTAAGACTGCCAAAAGAAATCCAAAAGAGCAACCGTTTACCGCCCTTTCAAGAATTGCACCATTTTATTTCACTTTTTCTCCGTCATTTTCTTTTCTTGCTTTCCCTTTCTTTGAGTCCCACAAAACTACTGGATCCCATAAAAGTCCAGCAAAAAGATAATTAATCAACACCTGTACTGACCTCTTGAAGTTGAAGATCAGAAAATAAAGTAGTAAACCAGCTAATAACGACTAGGAACGGCTAGGAAAAAGGATGATTTGGATCTCTATAACGCTACGTGGAGCGAAACAATTACGTACAACATTTACTCGATTTTCTCACAAATAATGGAGTGCAGACTTTGTATAAATCGAGGCATGTGGATACCATGAAAGGTCGAAAAGGGACACTCAGGAATCGTTCCTATAAATCGGTTGGGGCAACCACTTGAGAAACAATCTCAAAGATCCAGATGTAGCCCCATCCAGCTCATAACATTCTTCGTATTCCCCTTCCAATATGACCCTCGTGAGGGTCAATACGCATCTTCCCAAATAATCCTGCATCATTGACGCTCAGACCTGTCAGTGAAATCTCATAGTCCCGCTAGAAATCAACCAGGCTCTATCTTTTACCCTTATAGTTCTTGCGAGTTTGGAGAAAGGAAACAGCGAAAAATAAAACAACAGGGAATCAATCAGGACAGCCAATTCAATTAAGAAGCCATCTACATGTTCGATAGACTAAAGCCATGATTAATACCCCATACGGAGTGATATGAAACATATAATAGAGATTTCCAACATCCGTTCAACAACCATGTTACTCCTTAAGATAAAAGTTTGGCAGTTCATACAATGGTATTAAATTTCAAATAATTTCTTTCCCAAAAAAAAAAAAATTCTGGGGTGGACTCGGGTCTACAAAAGCTAAGTAAACCTATTCAGTCACAAAAAGACAAGTAATTATATTCGATGCAATTTTTAGTGAAATTCATAACTGAGAATAGTTACGTTTTTTTTTTTAAAAATATTTGCTTGGTCTAGTCATTTGCAAATGAAGTTGGCTCAAGAATCTCTCTTAAATTTCAATGTCTAACCAACTAAATTTTGTGCAAGTATGTGAGGCATGATTCTTTTTTTTTTTTTTACCTTTCCAAATGTATCGTGGTCCCAAATTTCAACCATTAGCATGTCATGTAATCCATCCTCAACAACAAAGTCAAATGTTTGATTCCAAACTGGAGATAAGGTGTTATTCACAACCTGTAAAAAATTAACAACTTCCAAGGTCAGTAAGTTTATAATATCTTGGGAATAACTAGTTAGGCAACAGGAAGTGAAAGGAAGGATCGAACATGCGCAAAAAAGAATGAACTGTTGTGTGCCTCTCACCCACCCTCAGGAATAAAGGAGGCGCAAAGATTAAAGAAAGAAGACAAAGCTTGATCATATATTCTATTTACAGGCTCGTCTCAAGGATTTTCAACACAAAGATACAAAGAGATACTAGTTTTGGTTTTAGGACTATCACAGTAAAAGGGATGTGGTTTGCTTCTTACCCTGGTTCTGCATTTTGTTTCTGATTTCTTCAAGATAAGAACAGCATAAGGATCAGATTTCCCCATAAAATCTGCTGCAGGCAAGTCTTCAGCAGATATCACCGTAACAGACAGGACTCCTCTGATTATAACCTCCCTTTTCTTCTGTGTGACGCCATTTCCATTTTCAGTACATTCTATTCCATTTACTGAACTTTTAAGAACCTTTTCTAAGGATGTCAATGGATCATTGCGAACAAAAGGGTTGGTAAACACAGTTCCATGCCAAAAGGATAGTATAAAAGCTCCAAATTTACCTAAGCACAGAGAGAAACAGTTAACAGAAAAGAACATATATTTCATTTGTCACATATCTATCTATCTATCTATCTATATATATGTACCTAAGCACAAAGAGAAAATATGATGTTCGAAGCATTTTACGAGCCAGGACATGATTTCAAATTCCTTTTGACCACAAAAAAATTGAAAACTTTAAGGCAACTACACTTTAAGGAAGTCATCTTTGCATTTAACTTATGTCCGGAATTAACGCTTCAGCTGCGGTCTGACACTTTTGACGTGGTTAAACGTATATATACATTTTCATATGATTGTTGTTATTTTTATACTTGCCCTATATACGCACGGGGACTCTTAAGAGGGGTCATACTTAGCGGGAAAAAGAAGTAACTGCATCTAAAATGTACAGCGCAATTTGAGCTGTCTCCTAGCAAGTCTCAACTAAAAGAACCCTCTAATTGTTATTGTTTAACCAAGTGGGATAGAATTACGTACCGAACCTCTGTTCTTGTTATCTCTTTGGACCTCCAAATCCTTGACCAGCTTCAACCACACATCTTTTACTTTACCAGGCTCAAGTTCACTAAGCCGTATGTGCGCACATCCAATAAATTCAGATGCCATTAAGCCTTCAGAATCATAGACTTTAACCACAAGGTGCTGAGTGGATTCATCTTCAACAACAAATTCGAAGTGTTCATTCCATATTGGATTCAAATCATTGCTCTGGAGGGGCAAAATAATCATGTTATTTCTTCCTGAATTGATCAGCAATAAATAGACGACAGAGATAGAGAAGTAGTACACTAACTTACAATTGTCTTGCTAGTTTTCGTTCTGTCACGTAAAGGTCGTACATATAGCACAGCGTATGGATCTGATTTACCTATAATGTCCTTGTTCGTTAACTCCTTAGCTTGCACGAGCTTCACTTCTAATATGCCCACAGGCTTCAACTCCAGATCACTGAGCAAGAAAAAACAGTGTTGTTTTATATTGTGAATCTATAATTTAATTGGCAGATACCGTAATTGACTAATCTTGCGATGAAGGAACCAAATTTTAATCTTTTTTTTGAAGGTGATCCTGTGTACAGCCACCTTAACTGACATAGATGCCTAATTGACAGGTCGTACAAGAGTCGGGACCAGACATAAATCAACAAGGTTCAAGACCATAACTGAGTTCTAGCATTCACCCATGCTCCTCTGGACTGCTCAATAATTCGTAGATTATAATATAGTATAATCATATTTGATAGAATAATGCAATTTTCAGTCATCGATCTTCCATTTATAATGAAATTTTTAAATGAACAACGTAGCTCATTTTTCAGACATATCATGTACGTGATCCTCACTGCCCATATAAAGAAGTACATAGGATTCTACGAAAATGCAAATAAACCTGATTTCTCTCTACCCATGAAAACTAGAGAGTTTCAGTTAGTGAAAGGATGGCAACCATAGATCAATTATGAGTATTGATCAGCAGCGTGATTGCCGCCTCAGTATACTTGAGTACCTGTAGTCTCCAGGCAAAATGGGTACAACTTTTCTCACAGGCCATGCAATAGAATCTTCAACAGCATCCCGAATTGACCCCTGCAGTAATTTAATAGACCTAATTATTTGTCCATGCATCGATAAGTGCCAAGTTACTATTTATGTCTTCTTTTGCTTTTCTGCTAAGCTTATTTAATTTTCTTAATAAATCATTTGCCACAAAAAGCTTTTTCATGAATGCGATAGTTAATTGCTCCTGGTACTTTTTAACTTCCTTCTTATTTTGTGAAGATGAGGAAACGAAACATAAAGACAACTACGCAAGCCGCACACTGGTATCCGGTATCAGTAACAGACCATGGCAGTTGATCAAACCTCAATTGCATCGGACAAGCCGGGGATTGCTGAAATATCTCCACCAACAACTTTCAACGTAAAATCCAATTTTTTCTGCAAGTTAAAATTTTCTGAAATGATCAAATGCATTATACTGGTATGTGCATATGGTAAAAGTCTTGGAGACAGAGGAATTGGGACGTATTCTAGCATGTACCAAAGGAAAATGAAAAGAGGGCATTGCTAACTCTGTGGATCAGCATTTGCGTGAGTGTATGTCTCAGTGGTTTGTGTGTGTGTGTGTGAGAGAGAGAGAGAGAGAGAGAGAGAGAGAGCTGAGAGCAAAAACAAACCCCTGCCGGCCAGGACGCTTTTATGTAGACACATAACCTCCATAATTTAGAAAAACTTCTTTAATGATTCAAGACTGTATGATCATAGAATGTTCATTAGTACTTTAAACGTAAAATTCATACGTCGATTAAGGATAATAATAAATGTGATCCACTCTCCAACGACCGAATAATGTTTCAATAAATCCTTAAACCCTACTTTTCTATCTGTTGGCAGGAAAGCTTTCCATCTTTGGCGCATGCATACGTAATGTTTTAAATCATCAATATCTTTCTACCGATAATTCAGTATCAATCTCCGTCTATAATCTGTAGGCACTAAGTAGGACTTCCATTCTGACTTCTTCAGTCAAGGATCTGGCCAAGAGTCAATTTTATGCAATGTCGTTGAAATTCAGGATCAATGAACAGATGAAAAAATGTATCCAAATTCAACTAAAAAATAAAAACTTAATACTAGAAATTCCAGTTCTCACAACAAAATCATAAGTTAAATTTTACTTCAAAAAATTACAAATTTACAAAATTGGTTTCTGGTCATGTAATTAATGAAAAAAATTTGTTCAGCGATATTGTATGTTTGGATCTGGCAATTCATATAAACCCAAGTTATAAGTGATAAAAAGTGAATCTTCGGAAAGCCTCTTGGGAATACATATATCTTTTACCTTCTGCCTTAAAGAGTAACTAACAGCTCCAAAGCCAGGAAATTCATCAACAAGTGGCTTGAAAATCAACCTAAAAACGCCTGTGAATCCTATATCTTTTACCTGAACAGAGATTATAAGATCAACATAATCATTTTAACAATAAAACAGCTTGCCCATAACCATTTTATCAACAAACCTTACCAATTCAAGAAATGAGGCGGTGTATTAATAGAAGAATCAGCAAAAACAAACACAAGAATACAAACCTTTCAGAAAATGCCAAAGTGCAAAATATCATTCAACTGCTTTTAACAAAGTGAAAAAAGATATACATTCCATGTTCAACCTTTGATTGCATACATCAGAATCTTTAAATTATAAATTTCGCTCATTTTCAGGGATAAGGTTATTAGATTGGTAAGAGAACCACTAAATCTTAGGTTTGCAATCATCTTTGAAACTCAGCCAACAAGACTTCTGACGTAATTGACTCTACAAGTTACTTTAGCCTGACGGAATTGAAAAGATATGCTTTGGCCTCATTATCTTGGACTTCTTACAGGCAGGGACAGAGAGAAATGTCATGGCAGATTTCTTATTAACCCATTTCTAATCAGCTACCCTAAATGAGAAAACAGAGGTGATTAAGGAAATTGAGGAGTACCTGCACTGGTAGTGCAACACCAATTAGAGTCTTAATATCAAGTATAATACTTGGATTCCCATCCCACTGCATTTCCAACTCCATTGTAACGCCGCTCCCTCCATCTTCAATTATAGATACGCCTAATCAACAACTTCAAAACATTAGATTCTCCAATGATATTTAAATTACCAATTGGCATGAGCATCGGGAAAAGAATCCTAACAAGAAGAATGAGTAAAGTGATAGCATGTTTCCAGGCGGCAAAGCCGGGCATTAACAAGTAAGCATGTATGCCATTACAATATTGTAGTCCATTTATATACTTCGAACTGTAATTATTTTAATTACAAGAAAATGGTTGACAATATCAGTAACTAATTGCACTTAAGGAAGGCTCGATTAGCTGAAGTCCGAAAGTCACTCAACTCAATAAGTTGAACTGACCTGTAAACTGTGGAGCTACTGTACCAAGAGTGAACTTCGAAAATTTCAATGACGCCAAAATCACCGGTCTATATTGTTCGAGAATTGGTTCCACCGATGTTTTTATTAGCTCAGAAGCAGCCTAGAACCCGATTTACGAGAAGATAGTCACATCCATAAAGTTATATACACTAAATCTGAGGATTGTTCGGGAACTGAATCTCACAAAAGTTACCTCATTAACGTACGGCCAGATCTTAGTTAGATGAGAGTTCAACCAAGTCAACTGCAACAAATAAAAAAATAGATATCTCAAAGTGTCTGTCTCGGCTCCTATTGATGAGAACATAATCAAAAGCAGAATCGTCAGCCAGAAGAACAGAAGACAGAGAGCTTAACTTTTGCCTCTGAGAGAAGACAACCCAAGAAGGGTAGTACTGGGGAGGCAAGATCTTCCTGGAATCTTCAACGGTCATCCGAGCAAAAGCGGCTATCGTTTCAGCAAATTCAGAGCGGAGCTTGGTCCGAGCATTCTCGTAGCGGACGAATCCGACGATGAGGGCAAGGCCGACGATGATTCCGATCACAAGGCCAATGAGGAAAGCCATGTGTAGTTTCGGGAGAGAATACACGTGAGAAAGAAGCAAAGAGGTTGGTGCAAAAGTGACAATGGTGGATTCGATAGAGAGAGAGAGAGAGAGAGAGAGAGAGAGAGAGATGATCAGAGGAGGCGGTGAAGGAAGGAGAGAGCGTAGAGCGTAGGAGGTTGTGTGTGGCTTGTGAGGTTGTTGTTGCCGTTGCGATCAATATTGTTGAGGCGGGCAAATCTTTTGTCTCAAACTCATCTACAAAAGTCACCTTTTCATGCTTTTAATTTCTTTTTGTGGTTGGCCGGCTCAATATTCTTTTATGGAAATAATTTTTAACCGATAATTTTTAGATTAAATCACATAAAAAATTTTCAAATATATGTGCACATTTTTTATTATATTTCATTTTTTTTATAATTGAGCATATTTATCTTGAAAAACATTGTAAAGCAATCTTTCATTGCTGGAAAAAGCTTTTTGTCATTTATGTAAAAATAAACTTTAACATTTTAATTGATATGAAAATATCAATATTAATGGATCCGACTCCGAAACGACGTAACGCATTGAGGCCCCAAGAAAACAACAAAATTACTGCTTGATTTTTATTCTCATTTTTTATGTTTAAAAACAGTTTTATAATGCAGTTTTTAAAATTATTTTTAAAAAAAATAAATTGAAAATAAATTTAGTTATATCAATTAAAAAATAATTTTAAAATTAAAAAAATAAACTGATAGTGATAATTATAAGCGGTTAATAGTGATAATTAGTAATAAAAATTGATGGAGGTAACTATAGTTTCTAATTATTAAATATAGTGTATTTTAAAAATAAAGAAAATAAAACGAAATGAAGTTGTTACAAGTTGTTTTTTTTTTGGAAAAATGAAAACAGTTTTGAAAACAATTAAATGAAAAATATTTATCCAAATAAATTTTTAAATTTTTTTACTTTTAAAAACAAAAAATAGTTTTTAAAAATAGAAAACAAACAAGCCCTGACGTTTTGAACTTCAAAATTGTATGATGTATTGAGTCTGTTAGAAAGAATGAATTTTTTATAACTTGACAAAAAAAATTTAAATCTCAGTAAAAAAGACATATACTTAATATACAACTGTATTTCAAATAAAATTATTTTTAATAAAAAATACCAAGAAAAAACCAATAGTTACCGATTTAGTGGAAAGAATTATAATCACTTAACTGAAACATTTTAAATTCAAATCCAGCCAATATATAAAATGTCTTTAGAAAGGCTATCCTTAATTAAACATGATAATAATGCTCAAACTTAACCCAATTAAATTACATAACTATATAAATATACTTAAAAAAATAAAGAAAATATCCATTTAAACATCTTGATTAGGGGCTGAAATTGATAACTAAAACAGCATCAAGCGGTAATAATTAGATTATGGAAAGATAAAAGAAATGTAAGTCAAATGAAGTTAGGATTGAAAAACGAACTGGCCGAAAATGAAACGTATGGGGGTGAACAACCTAGCAAGTAACATACAACTCATAGCCACAGTCAAAACTCTACAAGAATTTGTCGTACACATGGCTACGTGTATCATTGAAATTTGAAAACCAGAAAAGAACTGAAGACCAAGTAGCAGCTTCCCTCGAACGTTAACAAAGAGCAATAATTTTATTCATGTAGGATTAAGTAATTAATTGATATAAAGTTATTGGAAGTATAAAACTTCCAGACACAAAATGTATTGGAAAGCACGTGTTGCAAGAGCCCGTTCGTAAATTACAGATTGATTATTAAGCGCTCATTGGCTATCATAGTTCGAGAAAGCATCTGAAAAATTATAGTATGCGTCATTGACAATATATTAAGCACTAACAAAATTTTATTTCTTTCAATTTAAAATATAAAATAATTTTTTAAAAAAATTGCATACTAACAAAGTACTCGTTCTCATAAAATTATATATGTTATATATATATATATATATATTTTTTTTTTCCTTAGTCCCAATTACTAATACATCTTCTAATGAGTGGAAAATAAATTTACATAAATATATATTCCTTTCATTTAAAAATATAAGATATTTTAACCGAATCTCATCTCTCAATAAATTTATTACTTACTTTCAAACTAACCCCATCTTTTTATATTTACTCTATTAAACACTCTATAATAAATATAAAGTGATTATCAATAGGGGCACTTAAAAAAAGATAATAATTATACATCAAAAGATTAAAAATATTTTATATTTTTTAATATCTAACTCTCATAAAATATTTATATTCTTAAACAGAAGAAGTATATGTTAATAAAATACAAGAGATAAAATAAAAAAAAAATATTTTTATATGTACTGGATTGCACATTTATTTTAATATTTTTTTTAAGTGGACAGGTGTCTAAGTATCTTACAACACGTGCTTTATAATATATTTGCTGTTTTTTTCCCTTTTAATGAACCCCCTGCTTTTGCCGGGCACGGGCAGGGTTACGAATTATTTGCTCTGTTGAGAAAACGCCCGTTCGCAAAATGACATATTGTTTGCACTACTTCATTCACATTTTCAGACATTTTCTTTTTGAGTATAATTTATGAAAAATTATTCTATTCATAAATTAGGAATTTTCTATAAATTCATTTTCTTAGACAACTTGTAAATTTATTGCATATATAAAAATATTTAATTAAATTTTATCGCTCTTGTTCATACTTTAAATACGAATAGAAAATTATTTTATTAATTCACCAAAAAAATTATTGTAATATTTTATCCGCGTTCTATTATATAAGTTTTCAGTAACATATATTGCATGGATTATTTTTATCTCAACATGAAAGGATATCTTTTGGGTAAGTTTTTTTCCCCCCCTTTTTGAGCGAAAGCTAAAGGGTGGAGAGTTTCTCCATTTCCTTTCAATTTTCCCATCTCAATCATTCATTAATTTTATAATTTAAAAAATATTTAATAAAATAATATGATTAATTGAGATTGGATAAGTGAAGAAAAAATGAGATAAAAAAGGGGAGAGGTCCCTCTCCAGAAACTAAAGCCTATGTAATTACTCTCGCAACCCTATAATAGTCAAGATTTTGTAAGGAAAATATATGTAATATAGAATTGAAAATTTATGAAATATTAAAGTAAAAAGGAGTCAAAAATGAAAGAGAATGTACAAAAAGAGGGAAAATAAAAATAAAGCTTACACATCCATGTCCCATTGCCCATTCTGCCTTGTCTCCCAAATAAGTGTAATGCTGGCCTTCATAAAACTCTAGGTTAGCAGAGGCATAAATTACAATTTTTTTGGAGTCATATTTATTTTAGTTTAAACTTAGTGGGTTCAAAATTATATGAATAATTAGGGAAAATTTTTAAAAATCACAATATCTACTTGTAACTAGGTCTATTTTAAAATTTAAACTAAATAACAACTTATTCTATTTTAAAATTTTTTATATAACGAATTAAAAATATAAACAATAATTTATTTTATTTAACAAAGTGTTGCTTTGTGAAAAATAAAATGTTTAAATTTTTTATTAAATTTTTTATTAAAACTCTATATATGTAAAAATTATTTAGAAGACATAACCTGATAATATAAATTTTGTATTATAAAAATTATATAATTATTTAATAAAAATATAAAAGTGCTTATAGTTTTAATTTTTTTTAAAGGAACAATACAAGTAGTTTAATCTTTAAAGATTAACGAATCTAATAAAACAAACTGTAAGAGCTCAATTGAAACAAAAAAAATTATAAGAACCTACAAATTAATTTTTCAAAAAAAAAACATTAAATAAATTATAGTTGGATCAGTTCGAATAGGCCTAAACATAAAAATTGTGTTATTTAATTAAGTATAACCCTAAATTTTTTCAAGTTTATTTAGATTAGTCCAAATTATCTACTCTAAAAAATAATAACAATGGATTATTTTATTTAAAAATTTTTATTTTGACTAAATTAAATTTTTTTAAAAAAAATCTCATGAGGTAAGATATGTATACATTTTACATGTTTTCTAAATTAAGTTTATAATTTTTTCTAAATCTCATGAGGTACCTACTACTATTACGATTACTATTATTACTATTACTATTATTATTATTATTATCATCATCATCATCTATGAATCTTATATCTACCATTATTTTTTAATAAGCCTCACACTTTTTCTACTGCACAGAAAAGAAAAAAAATATTTTTCATATTATAAATATAAATTACATGTGTCTATAATAGAAAATATATGCCAACCTTTTTATTTCCACATAAATTACTTTAAAATTTGTTATTTCATGAATATTCAAACTATAAACACTGGCATCCCCTCAATTTGATCCTATTACGCATACTTCTCTTCAATTTTTAAAACTCATGCAAATATTCTTTAGAATTAATTTTCACTTTATTTTATTCAAAATATAAAGAATAATTTATTATTTATGTAATTTTATTCCCACAGAATTAAAAAGTAAATTCCTAAAAAAATTCAGTCATTTAAATACTTAATTTTTAGTTTTTACCTTTCAATTAAAGTAAAATTTTAATTTTACTGCATATCTGATAACTATTATTTTTATTATATACTCTCTCTATTAAAAAATATAAGATATTTTTAACCGAATTTTACTTCTAATAAAGTAGTTACTTACTTTTCAACTAACCATATTTTTTATATTTACTCCTATTAAATATTTTACAATAAATATAAGGTCATTATCAATAAGAGCATTTTTTTAAAATAATGATTATATCTCGAGAGACTAAAAATGCTTTATATTTTTAAATATCTCTAACTCTTTAAAAAATTTCTTACATTTTTTAACAGAAAAGTAACTTTTATATCCATTATCATTTTCTAGTATAGATCCTATACATATTATTTTTATTACGAATCCAGTGTGACTTTTAAAAATATTAAAAATTTATATTTTTTTAATTTTTAAAATTAAATTTTTAATCTCATTACAAATTTTATATTTACCATTTTCATTAAGTATCATCTTTAATTATATTTTTTTTCAAGGCTTTTGCAGGTATCACCCACATTATAGAACCAAATCAAATAAATAGCCTAACATTTATTATATTTTATATTATGGCTTGTTTATTATATACATCAATGATATACTATTATATATTAATAATAAATTACTTGTAAATTTTTAAATTTTTAATAATAAACTATTATATATCAATCATAAATTGCTTATATATCAATGTAAATTAACTATACTCTCAAATTTTTAAAAATCTAATCTATATTTTTTGGGTACAAGACTTTTTTGGAACAATGGGTCAATTTATCTTCTTTCTTTTTTTTTTACTATTAGCCCTTGTGAATCTTCCTTAACTAATAGTCATTTTATTTTACTCAACTTATAAATAATAATATATTATTTTATTTATTTTTATCCCTACATAATTAAAATTAAATTTTCCAAAAAAATATAGTCAGTTAAATACTTATTTTTATCTTTTATTTAAATTAAATTTGTAATTTCATTGCATATCCAACACCTTATTTTTTTACTAAAAATCTTATATCTACCATTATTTTCTGGTATAAATTCTATACTTATTATTTTTATCATGAATGCCACGTGATTTTTTAAAATATAAAAATTTTATTTTTTACATTTTTGAAAATTAAATTTGTAATCTCAACAAATTTCATATTTATCACTTTTTGGTAAAATCATATTCATCATTTTTATCAAGGTTAAGGTCTAATTTTATCCCTATATTTATTTTCTAAAAGTATTAGACATTCTATATTCTTAAGTGGAGCAATTTGACTCCTGAACTATTTTGTTGAGGAGCAAAAAACTCCCTCCATTAATGAACCATTAACTTTATTGTTATATATTAATGTGGCATATCTGCAGGACCCACCCACAGTAATAAATAAAACTCTGACCATGTTCTTTGGTGCTACTTTGCTCTTGAACTCTTTTTTCATGAATGCTAAGCAATCTAAAATCTTTTTCTAGAAGCATTAGGTACCTTAAAGTATTATTAGAGTAAAATTTAATAAATATTTTTAAAATATTAAATATTTTCATATTTAATAATTTAAATATTATTATTTACAAAAATTTATTTAAAATTTATAAATTACTTTTTAAATATTAACAACTCAAACTAGCATTTTATAAATTTATAGCTAACTTCTTTTTTTTTATATATCTATCTTCGATCTTCTTTTCGAAACAATGTCCAAATTATCATGATTTTTATGCTTTGAAACCTACTTATATTTTTAATATTGGTAAAGTTTCTTAATTTTTTTTGGTTAATTAATGATCTTCTTTCAAAATATTATAATACCCAAATTTAATACTCTCTTATGTTGCAACAGTTCGTAAAATCAGAATGATGACAATCAAGAATATTTATTTAAAATATATTACTTATTCTATTAATGTGCTACAAAAAAGTTATTTAACAAGGGAAAAATAGAGAAATGAGAAAAAAATTTCTTCATATGATTTGGAAGTTCATTCACTTCATTTTTAATACAAAATTGTAAAATACTAAAAATATTAAAATATTAAATTGAGTGGTGTAATGTTTTAAATAATAATATTTAAATTATTAAATATTAAAATATTTAATATTTTAATAATATTTATTAAATTTTATTTTAACAAGACTTCAAATGCCTAGCGTTCTTAGAAAATGCTCAGTGCTCCTGAAAAAAAGTTCAAAGGCAAATTAGCGTCAAAGAATATGGTCAAAATCTTACATGTCACTATACGTAAAGCCCATGCATATGCCATATCAACACATAACGGCAGAGTTAACGATTCATTACTAGAGGGTTTTTGGTTCCTTAAAAAAATAGTTTGAGGATAAAATTATCCCAGTTAAGATTATAGAATGTCCAGTGCTCTTAAAAAAATAAGTATAGAGACAAAGTTAAACCTTAATTTTTTTTATTAAGTCTTATCTATATACATATATATATATATATATATATTAACTATGGCCTCGCACTAATTTCTTTTAATAATGTAGGTCTCACATCATCATTCAAAACTTGAAAAAATTAAAATAATTTTTCAATACTGTATAGCACTGTTTAAAGCTCTGTTGATGTGCTTTATAGTATAATAAGATGAGATTTTCTCAATGATGAGTGGAGGCACTTTCTCACGTCAACATTATATAGACTTGCTAACTTGCCACCGGTAACGTTCATGTTTATTTCAATTCATTTACATCTTCCTATGATGAAACTGTAGAGAGGGAATCTCCCCATTTTTTGGGAAAATGGAGGGGGGGAGGGGGTAAAGGAGAGACACTTCTCCCCCGATGAAACTAATATATTTATCATACTTCGAACTCTCTTCATGTAAAATTAAACTTTCAACTATTAGTCATTGGCTTTAGTGAAAGGGATTATAGTAGCTTAGATTCAAAGTCTCAAGTTTAAATCTGTATAAATATAGAAAACATTTTTAAAAGAGCTATTTCAATTGAGTTGAATAATGTTTGAATCTAACACAGCCAAATAGTCATATCATTTTTTAAAAAGAAAAAAGAAAAGAAAAAACTTTCATACTTTTTCCGGAGCATGATGATCAGTGTCCAGTGTCCACAAAATATGAACCCATCGCCAAGTCCCTCTAGTTATAAATTAGACTCAAGCTTCTGTTAGACCAAAACCAACAGAGCCTAGCAGTCCACCATGCACCATAGTACGTAGTCCCATGCCAGAAAGGCTGTGTGAAAGCTGTAATACTTGAAGCAAATCTTGAATCACGCAAGTGATATTAGAAACCACACCATAATCCCACAGATACAATCATTTTGAAGGAAGATCCACATGAAAAACTTCATTTCACAGCATAGAGAGGACAAGTTGGTCAATTCAGGTTGAAAAGAAAAAAGGGGAAATAAACACCATCTTAACTTCTTCACAGTATCAATCTCCGATTCATTTCAGAGTCTATGCTCTCCTTGCACTCTTGAGGTATTCTGCTCTTATGGTCCACAATTGCTGGACCACCGATTTCATGTTAGGTCGATCTGCTCGAACCGGCGCTGCACATTGAAATGCCAACTCGATCATTTTCATAACAACCTCTGTATTTACACTTTCCTTCATTGAAGGATCCAGCAGTGCCACCACATTTCCTTCATCGAACTTCCTGAAAGCCTGCAAATTGATCAAAACTACAGAATTTGAGTGCCCATAATCAAAATTAAGTCAACTCAGCTTTTGATGTCCAAATAGAATAATGACCAAGTAGTGATATATAGAAATTCATTTGTCAGCTGAGTAAAGCAAAGATTTAAGTAAAACAAGTCAATTTTGTGGAGGATTAAGTCATCTTTGTAACTGATTTCAATTTACAAGATCACCTTTGGTTCATTGTTCAAAAAAGTCTTTCGGTGAGATGTGCGCTTAAACTACACTGAAGCCTATAATCTCAGTAAGTGCTTGTAACATGATCATCGAGTCAGAAAGAGATGAAGGATTTAACTTTTTTAATGTTGAAGCAGGCCAAACCAGGAAAGTCAAGAGATTTCACTAGTAATATCAGCATCCAGGATGCTCTGTTAGGAGCAGTTTATATAAATCTACCCATGCACATTTAACATTTTCATCGAGAATTTCTTCGGTTGCTAGATTTTCACATCAAACAATACATCGAAGAAGTCTACATAACCATATCAACAATTCCCATTATGCGTGGAATGTCATTTCATTTCTCTGACGTATAAAGTTTAAATAGACAATAAACACTTTTGAGTTAAAAGAAAGTTGAGAGGAACAAAAGCAGGAGAAATTCATTTGAAATAAGAAAAGGACATGAGTTTACCCATCGTAATGTAACCCGCTCTTCAACTGGTTTCTTCAATTCCACTGGACGTCGGCCTGTCAGAATTTCTAGAAGCAAAATTCCAAATGAGTAAACATCACTCTTGGTAGTGAGTTGGTATGTTTTCATGTACTCAGGATCCAAATAACCAACTGTTCCTTTCACTTTGGTAGAAATGTGTGTCTGATCAGAATTCGAGGGACCAACTCTTGCAAATCCAAAATCGGCAACTTTGGCTCTCATGCTTTCTGTCAGAAGAATGTTCGATGATTTCACATCCCGATGGATAATCTGCTTTTCTGTTCAAAGATAAGCAAAATGTCAGGCATAAATTAACAGATTTATAGATATCCAAGACTCAAGAACATCTTTGGAATGAATATGTCAAAATAACAATAATCATCACAAACACAAAACACTAATATTCACAATGGCCCAAAAATAAATAAATAAATAAATAAAAACATCGATTAATCAGGAACCTTGAGAGATCTTCAGCATACAGAGAAGGCCAACCTAAAAAGGAAAAAGAGGGAATACACTGATGGATACAATAGTCATGATTTGAACAATGTCCTGACAATAGATAGCACTTTTCCAATGCACAAACAGCATTTTTGGAGATATTTGAAGTGATTATTTATGATTTAACACTTCACCGCACACATTTATACTCTACTCATCTGATAAAAATCTTACTTCCAGCTTGTACACAGAGAAGAAGGTAAAAAAATTTTTAAAAATGGATGGTTTTCACTGACCTGCATATGTGTGCAGATAGGTCAAGCCATGAGCAACATCAATGGCAATTTCAAGGCGCTGATTGAAATCTAGTATATTGCCACGTAGACCTGCCAGTAACATCAACACAATATTATACTGTTTCTATATCCAAAGATAATCATGGAAGGCGTTAAAGGCGCAAGATCTTACCATCCAAATGTTCTCTAAGGGAACCATTTGCTACGTACTCAGTGATAAGAAGACGTTCATTTCCTTTGTCAATGTAACCTAGTAGCTTCACCAAGTTTCGATGATCGATTTTGGCCAGGATTTCAACCTCACTGCTGAATTCAGTTCTCAAAGTCTCAAAATGCTCCTATGCAATTTAGTTAATATGGTCAACAAAGAGAGAAGTGTTACTTCAAACATCAAAGTTTAAAATACCAGGTTAATTTCCTGACAACCAGAATTTTGGTAAGGCTTCCAACTGGTAATTATTGATAGTAAAAAAAGAAACTCAAGCGTCAACTGACAAGAGATTAGGTATAGCATACTTCCTAGAAGTCATTCCAACCCAAAGGTTACTGCTGGAAAAGGAGGAGCAACTAATTGATGCTGTAAAACACATGGCTTTAACTTCAATAAAGAAATGCAGTGGCTTTGCTATTCTACTTCAGTAATGCATGTGGACAATTGTTAGCTATGATTCAACATTAATTAAAAAAAGACTAATAATTCAGAAGAATATTAGAATATTTTAGATATAGTCATCACTATAACCGCTTAAAAGTCAATTCAAAAGATAAAAACAAATAACCTACAAAGTAAATCCTAAGCCCCAACACTTTCAATGATTGTGCTTTCCTCAAATTAATTCTCGCTCAATTTCAGCCTTATATTTTTTACTTATGTTCATCAGATAATTTATTTTATCTCATTTTCTCAACTATTAATTATTAGGATTAGTAAAGGCACAACCTCCTTGTGGGCTCGACCCAAGAATACTAATCAAAACTACATTCACTCCCCCTGACCCCTTTTGAACCATGTGATACAAGGGCACGATGATCACAAAAATGTAAATTAATACAGCACTCTTTCTTACCCTTTTTGCACGTTTCACAGCCACAACCAATCCATCTTCAAGCTGAGCCCTGTAGACAGTTCCAAAGCCACCTTCTCCTATTCGTAAAGTATCTGAGAAATTATGGGTAGCTTTTACAATTTGATTCAAGTGCAGATGTAATGACCCAATTCTACTGAGTTTTGGGGACAAAGAGAATCTTGAAGGACTAGGTGGCACGCGAAGTGGACTTGCAGGCATCTTTTCAGAAACAGCGTTTACTTCAAAGGGGGAAGCTGAATCAACTACAAGAGAAAAAATGCATGTTACTTTGTTAGTCAAATATAACAGGATTAACCATCTAAGACAGTAAGTATATGTGTGTGTATGTATATATAAAGCAAAATGAAATCTTATAACAACAACGACAGCTAACTATATCCATCAAATTGTCCACGATGCTATACCCCTCTCCCAAAGCCTAAAATGTCAACTCACTTGAATGTGTGTCCTTGGTCAAATCAGCATGGGTAGCGGCTTTTCGTCTCTTCCCAAAGATACAAGGACAGATAGCAACACAACATACCAAGAAAGCTCCACTTGCAACTATCCCAACTTGAGGGGATGACAGATTCTTAGAAACATTTTGGTGGGATTGAAATGATGAAATATTGTTTAAATCCTTCTGCAGAAGTTTTCTACCTGCCTTTGAAGGTGAATGAACTGCAAACAATAAAAGCCAAGATAAATGTTAAAGAACAGCTGTTTCCAATCCTGAAATCTTAGACAGACCATACTCAACCTCTCTAACAAATCCCTTGTTGATCCATACCTGTAAGAACATCCAAGGCACAATTGCTACTTTCAAAGTGGTCCTTCAAATCACAGCCATTTCCAATATACAGTTGGAGGGCCTTGCAGAAAGTAACTTTGTCCACTATATTATCATTTATGTAGTAAAGTTCTTTGCCAAGAGAAAATGAGTAGGCTACCCAATAAGGACCACAATCAGTTGACTGTAAGGAAGAAACAGTGGCGAAAATGCTAGGCAGTTGAAGCAATAGCATCAAGAATAATGTAGGGATAGCCATACTTAACTAGATATTGTTATCCTTTTGCACTTTAGAGTACTAAGAGATAATAAAAGCATTTCTCTCTGACAGCTGAGAAGCATGAAGCAATCTCGTTGCTTATATGTAGAATTAACCAGTAGAAGGGGAAATTCCTGGTCTGGCAGCAAATAATAGTTAAAAACTTCAAACTTAGCCTCGAAGAATTTTTGCCAGCTAAAACTTCAAACCCCCAGTAACTTTTGGCTTCACGGATTTAAACATTGAAAAGGAGAAGGTAAGTAAGCTGATATCGGATAGATCGTCAGCTGCAACCAAGTTCACAAGCCAATTCAACAAACTGGCCAAGGGAAAGAAACACAAGTTAGCGACCAATCGAAGACAAAACCACGAATTGCTACATGAAAGGCAAGTTCAATTTCTCACGATCACCGCCAACTAACAATCAAAGCCTTCTGGGACAAAACGAGCATAGAGGAACCCGTATTTGAGATTCTGATAATAGAATAAAGCAGTTTTATATAGAAGTTCACGCCTCCGACGTTGTCTAGACAACAACGTTCAACCGTCTTCAACGTCCTCTGAATTCAATTTTTCACAGTCCCCGCGAAATTCAAGTTAGTCCCTGAACACCCAATTCAGCAAAATGAACCAAGAAAGAATAAATCGCCAAACACCTAGTAGCCACGACAGCTAAGAATCCAAACCCAGACACGTCAAGAACTCACGAATTCCGGAAGAAATCACCAAACCCAGTTCACCAAAACCTCAAATCCACACGAAAAGACAACCAAATTAAAACCCCCACTCAACGCCGAGAAATTAAAGCTGGTAAGAAATGGATGCAAGGAACGCTATTTCAGGGCCCGAATAGTTGAAAATGAGTTGAAGAGGAAAATATCATGAGTTGGAAGGGGGACAGAGAAAGAGAGCCGAAGAGGAAGGCGGCTAAGCGTGGGAAGATTAAAAAAGTGGAAGTGGGGCTCCAAGGGAAGTGCGAGACAAGGATGAGGAAGAGAGAGGACGCACATATGGAATATGAAGACAGAGAAAGAGACCAGCCAAGGAAGATCGAAGCAGGCAATGGTGGACTGTGACGTAAACCCCATACCCATCCCTGCGTATTTGTACGTATATGTGTATGTATTATTATTGGCTTCACAGCTTGTTATCTTCTCCCCCACAAATTTCGCTTTCGTTGTTTTTCCGTGGTTGACTGGTGAAAGGTGGCAAGGGAAAGAGGAGGAAAACTCCAACAAGCGATTGCCGGGAAAGTATCGGAAGGGTTTATCTGTCATTCCACGCCCATTTCTTGTGCTGTGCAAATGTAATTAGGCCGTCATACACATTTTTAGGCCAAACATCATATTCAAACATATTCATGTCTGCTGTCCTAGACTCTGGTTTTCTTTTTCTTATTGTGAAATAAAAGGTCTCCGGAATCGTATGGTCAAAGGCTCAAAGCTCAAGATGAGTTCGAGAGGTTTGGAAATAAAATCTGTTTAATGTTAATAAGAATAAAGAATCTGAATTCTGAGCCATCGGGACCCATCCGCAAGCTTCTCATGCGCCGCGGATTCTCATGGAAGATGGTGCGCCTCTTCTGTTTATAAATTATTTTTATTAATTTCATCAATATTAATAAAATAAAAATATAAAAATTAAAATTTAATAAAATTATGAACTCTCACAAAATAAATAAATTATATAATTTTATTTTTTATTTTTTCTCTCATTTTTTAAAGATACTTTAAATATTTTATTTAAAATAAAATATTACTATCAATTCAATAACTTATAAAATGAATGACTTTACTTTTCTAGAAGGTGATCAGTAAAATAAATTTTAAAAATATTTTTTAGGAACAATTACATATAGATTTCAAAAAATAGATTTATTTATAAATAAAGTTTATAAAATTCAAAAATTACAATTAAGGCTCTTGAAATCTAAATGTAATTTAAAATTAAGATGTAAAGATAATGCTTCTCTTTCTTTAATAAAATTATGAACCCTCACAAAATAAATAAATTATATAATTTTATTTTTTATTTTTCCTCTTATTTTTTAAAAATACTTTAGATATTTTATTTAAAACAAAATATTACTATCAATTCAATGACTTATAAAATGGATGACTTTACTTTTCTAGAAGGTGATCAATAAAATAGATTTTAAAAAGTATTTTTTAGGGACAATTACATGCAGATTCCAAAAAATAGATTTATTTATAAATAAATTTCATAAAATTTAAAAATTACAATTAAGGCTCTTGAAATCTAAGTGTAATTTAAAATTAAGATGTAAAGATAATGCTTCTCTTACTTATAATGTGTGGTCAATTTAATTATTGGATATGTAAAATTATAATTGTAAAAAATTAAAATGTAATTATAAATTATTGATAAAATAATTATAAACAAATACTGTCAAACTTTATTAATAACACGTGATTGATTTAACTATTAAATATGTGAGGTCATGATTATAAAGTATTAAAATAATAATTATAAATTATTAATGAAATAACTATAAATAATTAGTATTACACTTTCTTCATTATGCACAAACAATTTAACAATTCAATAAATGAAATTATAGCTGTAAAATATTAAAATAATAGTTGTAAATTACTAATAAGTTAATCGTATACAATTAATATTAAAGTTATAATGCATGGTCAGTTTAACTATTGAATATATGAAATTATAATTATAAACATTTAAAATGATAGTTGTATATTATCAATAAAGTATTAAATTTTTTAATTAATATAATATATTTTTAATAAGAGCATTATTATTTTTATACCTTAATTTTAAATTACACTCAAGTCTTACGACAGACTTAACTATAATTTTTAAATTTTACAAAATTTATTTATAAATAAGTCTATTCTTTAGGATCTGTACATATTTTTTTCTTTTTTATATAATATCTCAATAAAAGATGTGCATAGTAGCATACTCCTTTCCATTTATAAATTACTAGAACTAATAGAAGTTTTAAATTTTATTAACTCTATTTGAAAATTCAATAATATTTTATTTTTATTTTTATTAAATATACATACTATAAAAATAAAATGGGGTTTTTGCACAGATAGGCCATATTATAAGACTAAGTAAAATAAATAGCATATCCTTTCTTAAATTTTAAAAATAATCTTTTTAATATTTAGATTCTAATTAATTTTCAAAAATGCCCTTTTTAATATATGTTTTTTTCAAATACCAGAAAATTCAAAATGTGAGAAATTCTAGAATAAGAAAGACAAGTGCAAGAGAGAAGACCTATTTAATGTTTAATGTCTTCATTGTAATATTTGAAAAAAATAGAAAAGGAAAAGAGAAGAAAAGCTTTGTGATGAAAATGGTGATGTAGGCAAATTAGGTAAAAAATTTTGACAAATAAAAGCTCTGTACAATAGATGAATATGATGATCTAGAAAAATTAGATCAAAAAAATTGATAAAAAAAATATTCAGAGATGATAAATCAAAGAGGGAGCATGCACAATATAATTTTTGATAATAAAAATGAAAGATCTAGTCAATTAAAAAATAGTTAAATCAAGTATATTCCGTTTTAATAATAAATTTATTTTGATGATAAAAAAGTACATCTAACTTATTTTATGAGTGGGCCATATTTTAAAATATTTAAAAATTTTATACATAATTTATGAAAGTTATATTTTTTGAAGTCATTGAGCTAATTTTCTCAAACAAAATAGACCATCATTTAATAAGAGCAAAGGGACAAAAATAACTATGTAAATCATCAAATTTTATTTATAAGTTGCTCCCAACATGTTTTATTGTAATTAAAAAAAATTTTAAATCTCATTAACTCAATTTTAAAATTTAATAAGCTTTTACATCAATCTATGATAAAGTTAAAAAAATTAATATTTGTCTAGTATTTAATAAATGCAAAAAAAATATAAATATAAAAAATAATAAAGTGTTTTATAAATAAGACTAAAATTAATATTCTCTTTCTATCTTATAAACAGAATTAAAGGAGTAACAACCAAGTTTTTTGCGTAATTACTTGACCAATTCACATTCAGATATTGTCGGGCGGGAAACTCTTTCAAATGCACTTTTTATATTCACAAAAACCTGAACTTCAACATGTAATTTATGCTTAAGCTGTCATAATTTTTTATTAGAATCTAGCCCATTTCCAATGACATTAAAATGTTCTAAATTAGTCTAGAATATTTATGTAACACCTAAAATGTAATTCTAGCCCTTCCATCCTATTTTACTTAAGGCTTAGACCCTTAGAAAAATGATAAGTAAAGACTTTATAAGAATATTAATATTAAATTAAAAATTTTAATCCCTAAATATGAGAGAAGGAATACTTAAATTTGGAAACGTCAATTTAAAAAAATCCTAATTTGATATTAATATTTTTATAAAGTCTTTATTTGTCATTATCCCTAGACTCTTCTCCCTTATAAAAAAAAGTATCAAATACAGATAAATTCACCAATAAAATTGAGACATTAAATTAAAAATAAATTTATTACCCAATTTAATTAAAATATACAATAAAATTAAAGTATTAAACATGCATTTTATTTGTACGGCTTTATGCACTGAAGTGAGTGCACACAAGCGGGAATTAGTTGACACCCGACCAGGGGCGAAGTACTTTACAAGGAAGGACAGGGTGTGTTTGTCTGTTTGTGTTTTAACTCTTTATGGTGTGAACCGTTTCTCACGTGGCCTTGAATTTTCAATCAACATTGTTTAATTAAGATAGCGATGCACCCTAAACAAAAAAAAAAAAAAAGACAGTATGATTTGGCTCAAATATTACTGCTCGTTTAATCTATTCACTCTCATTTCATGTTCATTGTGAAAGCACACATCACATCATAGATTCTAATTTCTTTTTTTTTTTCTTTGGGGAGATTTCTTAATTCATTATAATGCAACATAATTAAGATTAAAACATAAAATAATTTGTTTTGACAAGTTAGCAAATACGAGTTTTCCTCGTACGAAAAGCTTTTATATAATAATAAATGTAGAAATGCTTAAAAGAAAGTTTATCTGTCAAATCACACAATCTTCCACGCAAAATAATTGAATTAGACCATTTCAAAATCAAACGCGTTTGATGACCATTTTGTTGATCAGACCATCTGTTTGAATCTCATTTAAGTCTGATTGACCAAGACGACACCGTATGTTTCTCAAGAGGTCTGAATTGAATCAATTGAGTGGTCCATCTCATCCTGCTATTTGTATTTGTGTTTTTGCCAGAATCTCGTATTTGTTTTGATGCTTTTGTTAGGCAAAAATAAAAGGGGCATCGTGAAGCGTGTCAAATAAGTGGGTTTTTAAAAAGATGGAATAATTTGACTTACAATCAAACTCAAAATTCCTTATCACATTTTACCTAATTGCGAGAATATAAAATGAAAAAAATAATATAAATATAAAAAAATAAAGATACATTAATTAAAGAAAGGTGGTAAGGTTATGCCGGTTATACAACAAAAAATAAAGATTAAAATTACATAATAAAAGAGAAAATAAATTAACAAACACGGAGTTTGAGAATTTAACTGATAGTTTGATAATGCTAATGATCTTTATTGAGAGAGGACTTCTCTAGTTATAAATAATCATAGCTTAGTGTCCAAATTCAATGATCACCACTTTTCTTAAATTTAAGAAATGCTTTCTTTATCTAGTCACTCAACAGGAATGGGATATGGATGATCTTGACTTAATAACTAAAGTTTTATAAATATTTTTTTAATTAAAGTCAATTAAGTTGAGTTAAACTTAAATCTCCAAATTCATAATTTGGATACAAACAACTTTAATTTTTTATCCACTTACGCCAAGGATTTTTTTTTTAAACATAAGTCATCAATATATTCATAATAAATAAAACGATTGCAAAAGAAATACATACACACATGCAAATAAATATTGTGCCATTATAACTTGCACTTTCAAGTCTTGTGCAATTTTTTTTATATATTTTTTTAATATTATGTGAAAATAGCATGTGCGCGAAATCCTCTAGTTGAAATCTGTTTGGTAAATTAATTGCATATATCAATTTAAAATC